TAACAAATGGGAACATCTGAGAACTCTGGGTGTGGAAAAGCTTCTAGGTAATTCCACGTAATCCAGAGAGTGAAAACCACTCAATTACAATAGGCCTTCTGGCCTCTTGCTAACTGAATTGTTAATCCTAGTTGAGTATGCTTCTGTTTTATTTTCTTGGGCCTGGTCCAGGGACTAGACTGTTGCTGTAATTAAGTTAGATTTTATCATTCTTCCCACAGTATCAGTATCCCGAGTTCAGATTCCATTTCATCAGTGGGGCAAATGTATAGGTCAGTATAGGACAAGTGTTAAACATTAATGGAAGAGACTGTATTATATTGACATTGTTCTTCCAATCTGGCAGCCTTAAATTTCATTTAGAAAATGCCTCTATTTCTTTTTCTTTTTTTGAGACAGAGTCTCGCTCTGTCGCCCAGGCTGGAGTACAGTGGTCAGATCTCAGCTCACCTCAAGCTGCGCCTCCCGGGTTTATGCCATTCTCCTGCCTCAGCCTCCCGAGTAGCTGGCACTACAGATGCCCGCCACGTTACCTGGCTAGTTTTTTTTGTTTTTTGTATTTTTTAGTAGAGATGGGGTTTTGCTGTGTTAGCCAGGATGGTCTCGGTCTCCTGACCTCGTGGTCTGCCCGTCTCAGCCTCCCAACGTGCTGGGATTACAGGCTTGAGTCACGACGCCCGGCTGAAAATGCCTCTATTTCTAATTTTACCTTGGTTTTGATTTCTTTTACTATAGGGATCACATAAATGATTTTCCTCTTTTCTTGACTTGCTTGTCAACTCCTACATTTTTGAAAGCTTCTGGTTAACTTCTAGTTACAGGTAAGTTCTGTTTTCTGTTTGCTTAACAGGCTCACTGAGATTTTTTTTTTCTTTTTTTTCTTTTTCGAGACAAAGTCTCACTCTGTCTGTCACCCAGGCTGGACTGCAATGTTGTGATCTCTGCTCACTGTAACCTTCGCCTCCCAGGTTCAAGCGATTCTCATGCCTCGGCCTCCCCAGCAGCTGGGATTACAGGTGTGTCCCACCACGCCCAGCTAATTTTTGATATTTTAAGTAGAGATGGGGTTCCATCATGTTGCCTAGGCTGGTCTCAAACTGCTGACCTCAGGTCATCCACCCAACTCAAAGTGCTGGGATTACAGGTGTGAGCCACCACACCCCGCCACCACTTCTCCCATTTTATAAAGGGTAGTCTTTTTCAACTTCTAAGAGCTCTTTAAAATAGTAAAGCCCTGCCATAATGCAGCTAAAAAACGAAGATATAAAATGTGTAGTAACACGCTTTTCTTAACATTAATGAAAAAGTATTTTTCAATCAGTCTGTATTTTCACAGAAAGGACAAAAATAAAAGATTCAGAAACAAACTGTGTATACAAAGTACATATACCCTGAAGCTCCCAAATGATTGTGAAGCAGTCACTTCCAAACCCAACTGCCCACCACCCAAAACACGAGGAGAAAATAAGAATGTTGGCCTTTCCCAGTTTCAATGATCAGGAGCAACGTACTCAAAGCCCAGTTTAAAGAAATGTTTCTGCAGAGGCTTTACTGCGCTGGGGATTTAGCCCCTTCTATTCTTCTAAACTCACTGATTTCTGCTTGTATATCTTTAATCATTTCCCCATTCTGCTTTCCTTCAGGGTTTTTGATTGTCCTTTCTAAGAATGAGTTAGAGGCTTAATTCATTTTCATTCTTTTCTTAATGACATAAGGATTTTAAGGCAATGAACATTCCTCTGAGCTCTCCTCTAGTCTCTAATACTAATGATTGCATTATTACTATTCTCTAGATATTCTGCAGTTTTAACTTCAAATCCCTGTGTGACCTAAGGGCTGTTTGCATGAATTGTAAAATTCCACCAATCAACTTTTTTTTCTGGTTTTGTTAGTAACTTATAGATTTAACTAAGATCAGAGAATGACATTTGTCCTTTTTCTACTTTTCAGTATTTGAGATGTTCTTCATTGAAAAAGATTAGCCTCTTGAATGTTCCAGATAGGAAGAGGGAGGTAGCGGATGAGAGAGCAGAGTAGACAGAAGTTTCGTATTTTAATTATGATTTAATTCTAAGCATTCTAAAATTTCATTGGATTTTTTCAGCTATGAATTACAAGGGTGTTTAGTTTTCAAATTCATGTAGCTTTTGGTTTATCTCTTCATTATTGACTTCTAACCTTAACTGCTTCATATTTAAATTATAAATTATATGGTGTGGATGGCACCAAATGTTTTTAAATCTTCTGACTTGCTTTATGGATTAATATATAATAAAGGTTTCTCCCACAGTCCAGAGATGCTAGAGAAGAATATAGAATATCTAACTATTGGGTACAGAGGTCTGTATTTGTCCATTATACCACGTCCGTTCACAGGTTATTCAAATCTATATATAGGCATTCTGTGTAACCTACTTATGGTAATCAGGGTATGTTGAAATCTCCAAATACCATGGCAGACTTGTCAATTTCTCTCTGTGGTTCTATCAGTTTTTTCTCTGTAGTTTGACGCTATTTTTGATAGGTACATAAACTATGAAAATTGCCATATCTTCCTAATTAACAGTCATTTAGCATCAAGTTGTTACTAATGCTTTCTGTTTCAAAATCCTATTTTGTTTGAAACTGAAGCTCCGTCTCTTGTTTTGGTTAATGTGTACTGGCATATCTTTATCACTCTCTCTCCTTTATAAAAACTTTCAATCTTTTCACATCCTCATATTTTAAATATGATGGATTAAAACAACTGGATATTGTTTTATTACTTCCATCTGTCTAACTGGTAACTTTAGTCCATTTGCATTCATTGTGACTGATTTATGTGGACTTCTTTCTGTCACCTTTAGAATTTCTATTTCTCTCACTTTCCAACGTAGTTTTAATATTTCACCCTGGGATTCCATTAAGACATATTTTAGACCTCATTCTGATCTCCCTCTCCCCAACAACCCCACCAACTTCTGTCCTATCATTTGTCCTCACGTCTCTCTGTGTAACATATGGACTTACTTTTTGGAGATAATTGTCTAACCAATTAATCCTTTCTTCTGGTGTCTAATCCACCTACTGAGTTTCTGATTTCAACATTTACATTTTGTATTTCCTTATTTCATTTTCTTCTGAGACAGAGTCACACTCTGTCACCCAGGCTGGACTGCAGTGGCATGAACCTGCAGCCTTGGCCTCTGGGCTCAAGTGATCCTCCCACCTCAGCCTCCTGAGTAGCTGGGACTATAGGCAGGTACCACATACCCAGCTTTTTTTTTTTTTTTTTTTTTTTTTTTTTTTGGTGGTGGTGGTGGGTAATGTTTGTCAAAATGAGTTCTCACCGTGTTGCCCAGGCTTGTCTCCAACTCCTGGGCTCATGCCATCGTCCTTCCTCAGCCTCTCAAAAAGTGCTGGGATTACAGTTGTGAGCCACCATACCCAGCTATATATTTTATTTCTGTAAGTTCTGTTTCATCCATTTCTTTTCAGGTGTTCCTCATCTTTCCTGGTGGTCTCACTCGCTTAGTTTTATGAGTCCAACTTTTTATATATATTAGATGTATTTCATATGTAACTATTTTCTCACAATTCTAATATTTGAAGTCTGTGTTCTGCATCTGATAATTCCAAAACCTACAGTCTTTGGGAAATATATTATTCATTGTTTCTGACAATTCTGAAATATGTTGGGTTAACTACTTGAATGCTATGATTTCACTGAATTAGTAGTTGCCTGCTTTTAAGCTTTGGGAAGTTAGAGATGCTTTCCTACAAATGTATCTGTGTCTGCTTCTGATGAGAGCTGTGGACACAACTAACATGAGACCACTTTACCACCATGCCTAATCCTGACATCCCGTTGGATTCTCTTGGAGAATGTCAGGATTACACAAGTTTCTCAAATTTGGCTGCCCAACCCTGCTCATTTATACACAGAAGACTAGACTGCTTAGTATAGGTGGTGACTCCCTTCCTCTTACCCTGGAAAAAACAAAACAGATCTCTCATCTGAATGTCATCACAGAAGAGGAAACTCTGAAGGTGAATAACTGGAGGCTGCGGGCAGCAGGGAAAGACAGGTGTCTTTCCTGACCATAGAAATAGGTCAGAAGCTCCCCTAAAGGCTGTGTGCTCCAGGTTTCACTATTTAGCTCAACTACCAGTCCCTCCGTAAGAGTGAACGGAAGCTTCTCAGGGCACCATGTTGTCTTTAAACCACAAATTCTTGCTAAAAGTCGCGGTCATGGTAAAAAAGCTATGGCTTTGGAAGGCTTTCTTGGGAATGTCCTAGAATTAAGGTTACAGCCTGCGTTTCATGTTAACTAAACAGGAAACCAGCCTCACCAACATCCTTCTGCCCCGTGGCTTGCTCTCAGCTCCTCTTAGTTGGGCCTTGGGCTACCAGACTGTCTGGTTTTAATCCTTGCTCTGCCACCTGTGACCCTGGACTAGTTACCTACCTTCAGTTACCTCATCTACAAGATGCAGATATTAGTAATACCCTCTTTTTAAGTTATTAAGAGGATCGAAAGAGTTAATAAAAAGTAACAAATAAAAGGACTTGGTAAGAATAGACGCAGAGGGGAAAAAAAGGAAAAATAAATCAATAAATGAATAAAGAAATAATGAAAAAGACTAGTGCCTAGCACAGAAAAGTTCATCGGGAATTAATTCTATAACATGAACTCAATTTTGCAAATCTTCAGAGTACATAAAACTTTTAACTTACTAGGGTATACATAGCGATAATAAATTTACAACTGTAGCCATGTTTGCCTACAGTAAATATAACAAAGACTAAACAAGCAGATACTAAATCATTAAGTGATTATCAGTTAGTATCTTTAATTTTCTTATACTTCTATATTTTCTATAGATCATCTTTATAACAAGAAGAAAACAAACCGAAGGAAAATGAAATGAATTCTCTCAAAAAGAATTAAGACAGAAAGAAGGCTCATAAATATAAAATATCTCTTATAGTTTCTTTAAAATTCTTAATAACATACCTTCTTTGCTCCAAGCTGCACTCTGGCTTTGCCTTTGAGTCAGGTGGCATTTCTTTGCACGATGACCGGTTCTATTGAGTAGGCACTGCTTCAGCCCTACAGGAAGAACAAAACATCTCTAGAACACAGCAGCATTCCTGATTCCCACTTGAGAAGGCCTAACAAGATGCCATGCACCTCAACAGCAGCAGATCAGTGTTAAAAAGTCTGGAGACAAGGGGAAAAAGTAAAATTGGACCATTTCCAAGATCTCACAGAAAACAACAAACTGACGTTCTAAGTGCCCAACATGAGCAAATTAGAACTTTAAATAAAGGTCGCTCTCAATGCCGATCCTAGCATAGATTCAGCACCACGTACAATCTCATTTTACTTGTTGACCTTTTTCATTCTTGAAAGTAGGAGGTAAGAAAATAAAAAAAATAAATAAATAAAAAACACCAAAATTTTTTTAAGAGAACCTTCTACTGACAACCTAACTTCCCATAACCGAAACACTCTATTGAGAGCGAAAATTGAATATTATAAGAAAATAATCACCTGTTTTGTGAGAAGTTCCATACATAATGCTCCTCCACCCAATACATACCTTGAAAAGAGAAAAGGAAACAGAAAAAATTATCACGATAATTATTCGTGCTTGAACAGTTTCTACGTGCCATTACTAAGAAAGCATGCACACAGTAAAGATGAGACGAGAACATGCAAGCGTGAGCATACTTGTTAGGGATATAGGATTAAGGGCAATTTAAAAATTCTAATGTTTCAACTGTCATGTACTTGCTCTGAAATTCTAGTCAATTGTTTGAAATGGCTCTTAGAACAGAACACTTTGAAATTTTTATGGTGTCAAAAATGAAGAACTTAGCCATAAATATTCCAAAGCATAGGGGCAGAAGAACCCATTTCCTTAAATGGCATTTGAGTATTCTTTACAACTGCAACTTTCTCTCCCATCCTGTGATGGCCAAGAGTTTTTCCTCTGACAATGGCACTGAGCTTACCCGATCCAAAATATGAACATCTGCATTGCTTCATCGTTGGAATTGTTTTTCCCCATTCTTTTGTGAGAATCAAATGGTTCAGACCATGTAGCTCCTCTCTGGGACTGCTCAAGTCCTTTCCATGTCTGAAGACTATTCTCTGAACCAAACATAACTTCTGGGGAGGTACCAAATCTCCCATTAGAAACTTATTTAGATCAATATGTTTTATCCTTTTAACTCTTTCTGAAATAAAATCATTTCATTTCTCCTTTAATGTTATTTTATATTTCAAAATACACAGATAGCATGCCTAAGAGAAAATCAAGGCAATGACAGTTTTAGAACACAAACTGTGGTAATTTTGAAAACACAAAAGCTAAGACCACTGATTAGGTCTATGTGGACACCAAGTCCTCCACAACCTGTTCTGCCCTCTGGGGCTCTGCCCACACATTTCCCTTGCCTGACATTCCTTCTGCTTCCTACCCTTCCAAACTCTGTATTTCTCCCCCAAAAAACCTGCCAAGAGCACTCTAGCCTGCACATCTTCCATTCCAGCTAACCAAAGGCATCCTTGCGTTGACTAAACCAAATTATTTTGCAGAGAAGCCATCTAAAAACTTCTACTGTAGACCATTCACCTTCATAATTGTTATGATGACATTATTCAATAATAAAATGAGGGAAAGAAGTCCTCTTCACTCCCTTATCCTGGAGAATCCAAGCCAGTGTCTTTCCCACTTGCTTTCCCCAAACTCTGGGACTTTTGAAAGTAACAGTTTAATGGAAAGGAAAGAAAATCTACAAGATAAACTCTCCAAAACATTAAACTCATGTAAAGTATCACGGGATTAAAAATGTTGATTCTTTGTGTATTTAATTTCTGAAACATAGAAATCTATTTCCCACTGCTTAAATCTGCCACTGGACTAAAAGAGTATTGTATAGAATGTGCACTCACTGATTTAACAGAATTAGAACATCCAGGCCTTCACTGAGATTTTGCTTCCACAACCACTCAAAGTCTAGTCAGGAGTTAATGAGTTAACACCACACTTGATCTTTAATTAGTGAACACCACACTTGATCTTCACATTTTGGAAACTCTGACAGTAGACAGGGACTTGTTTTGGGAAAGGAAGTATACAGTAGACATTGTTACCCATTACCCAGCCACCACCACCTTTCCTTTAAAGCACTCCACTCTTCCTTTAAGGTTGCAGAGTCTCAGAAAGTGGGAAGAAAGGAAGTTTTTGCATTCAGGTCGAAAGAAAGTACATTTGTACAACCACATAATACCTATGCAAAGGTTTGTTGAAATCTGAACACAAGACAGAAGTAGTTCTAGCACCTCCACCAAAAGTAAGGTCAGTAAACTTTTCTTAACACACAGTGTCAGCAGCAGCGACACTGGAAAGTGGTCGACTCTACTACTGTATTAAATTACCTTCATTTTGTCAATATGTGTTCCACATTCTTACTGCTCTTTGTCTCCAAAGGGTTCCTGCTGAATATTGAGACAGTTCAAGAACACTAGGAGAAAAAATTCTTAATAATCCAAGTAAGGGTCATCTAAGATAATATGCCACATATACAGACACAGTCATATTTTCAACTATAAAAAAGTTCAGTTGTCAAAGTTGTACAGCAAACACTATCCTAGGCTTAGCCTCTTCAGGCATTTGATTTATAATCACTGTAAAGAAAAGTCAGTCACAAAATGCCACGTTTTGTATGATTCTATTTATATGAAATGTCCAGGACAGGCAAAACTACAGGGATAGAAATTTGATCACAGGTTGCCAGGATGAAGCATGCGGGAGACAGGTACATGACTACTGATGGGTACGGGGTTTCTTTTTAGGGAGATGAAAATGTTCTGATATTAGGTAGTGGTAATGGTTGCATAAATCTGAATATACTAAAAACCACTGAACTGTACACTTGAAGGGTTAGGCTTATCACATAAAAACTGTATCACAATAAAGCTGTCAGTTTGAAAAATGTTTGGCTATGTCAAGAAATAAAGAAATAGGGTCATAGCTAGAAGATATGGGATATAAAATACATGGAACAAAACTGCTCAATAATCTATCTAGAATCACACAATGCTTAAGTTTTACCCTGACTAAAATCACAAGCTTTGCATTTTATTGGTGTTTCACATTTTTTACTTCTTCCTAAGTCAGCCAATAATTCCTCCTCCTCACTTAATAGTGGACTACAAAGACCAAGCCATTTTGATTCTGCTGCCAATGGGCTTTCACATTTCATTCCTCCTTCCACCTCCATGACTACCAAACCAACGTAGGTTCTCCTCCCTTCACTCTAAGACAACAGCGTGGCCCTCAACTACTGTCACACTCTCAAGGCTGTGAGGGCAACGTGTCTCATATTCTCTTCTGCTGCCACCAGATTTATTGTAAGACAGTTTCTTTACTGTTACTCCCCTATTTCTCAACCAGTTACATAGATAGATGAATATTCAGGCATAATAGTTGACCTACCAGAAAAAAGAAAAAAAAAAAAGATCTGTCACCAACCCACAGAACTGTTTGAGTACAAGATATTACGCCAGCACTATTTCCTACAAACCTTCGACATGAATCTTGTCCTCCTTGTGTTATAGCTTCAACTGGTGTCTTACACTCTGAATCTCTCATTCTCTTTCCTAGACACCTGATTGTGTTAACCTGTCACCTACGTTAATAATTTTCCTTCAACTTCCACCAGCTGACCAAACCCCACTCACATTTCATTGCCCAGCTGGGATCCAACCTACTTCATGAAGAGTAACTCTTTGCAGCTTTAAACCTCAAAGAAATTACGTCCACGCTTAGCTTTTCTTTTTCTTTCTTTTTACATGGAGTTTATCTTTGTCACCCCGGCTGCAGCGTGGTAGTGCAATCTCGACTCACTGCAACCTCTGTCTCCTGAGTTGAAGTGATTCTCCTGCCCCAGCCTCCTGAGTAGCTGGGATTACAGTTATGTGCCACCACATCTGGCTAATTTTTTGTATTTTTGATGGAGATGGGGTTTTGCATCTTGGCCAGACTGGTCTCGAACTCCTTACCTCAAGTGATCTGCCCACCTCGGTCTCCCAAAGTGCTGGGATTACAGGCATGAGCCACTGTGCCAGGTCCATGGTTAGCATTTGGTAATCAATGGAGTACTTAGAATACTTAGTACTTTTAATCTCCTCTTATATAGCTGGCATTTGGTATAATGAAAAACACTTTACTACAAATCAGAAGATTTATTTGGGGAGGTCACAAGCTGACTTAGTATTCAAATTATTCATCCAAATAACAAGGACCATAACACACTGTGGCAAAAAAGAATCAATGAAGAAACTATGGAATGGATTTTGAAATTAAAAATGGCATGATTCATAACTTCAAGTATTTGTCTTGATTCTAGGTGGTATACTAAGATCATAAACTTACATTCTTGTGATTCTTACAACAAAATGTTGAAAGCTATACTCGTCCATTTTATAATCACATTTGAAAATGTTTTCATACATTTATTCTGAATTTGCAGATTTTTGTCCAAATCTTTTGTTTGATCATTTTTTTTTTCCTCTCAAATGAGATTCTGTACATAAAATGACCTGTCTTCCTTTTCCCGTGCTTATGGGAATACTGAGTCAACATATACAATTTTATAAACCGTCACATAAAACTAAAGCACAATACTTATGTCTTTTCTCCCCAATCAGTAAGGGCTTCATTAAAAAGACATTTTGACATTCAACTATGAAAAAACAAAAGAACTATGGCTTGGTGGCAAGTAAAAGGCTGGTGTGGTGATCAAGAGACACAAGGATTAAACATTTAGTATTTTTCAGCCTTGTGTTTATTTTGTATACGTAAGTATTTCGCTGGGTAACCTAACATTCAACATCCAAAACTGACTATGAGGTTCTGTGCCAAGAAAAGTACTTTTTATAGCAATTTTACTGCCTAAACCAAAACAATCTAGAGAAGCTTTAAAGGTAACACAATAAAACAGTACACAATATTAAATAATTCTGCTTCACACCCAACCAAGGACTTCCACTCACGCTAATAGTATATTTGTGATCAATTTCGTAACAACCTGTCAAAAGGAGACCTCTAACATCTGCCCACTAAGGGATCACTTCAGCATTTTCTGCTCTGCAGCAGAAAACACACGGGAATCACTCAGAACTCAGGATTTCCAACAGAGCAGCATTTCCAAGGGAGTAAGCCAGAGGACACCATCCTCTGAGATGCTGTCAGGTACATTATTAAACAAATTTGGGAAGAACAGAAAATAGCCTCAAGGCTCCAAGAAGTCCTTCGGTAAAAGACATTTTGATCCTGGCTTCCCGCAAACCTTGAAATCCCCAGAAAACAAATATGTACTAACATATCACTATACTGGCACTCATAGAACATTTTGGGAGATATGGCAAAGATTAGGCTGCAGGTATCAGGTAAGTAAACTCTTAAAAAACAATATTGTACAATCTTTTAATTTAAAAATTAAAAGAAAAACAGAAAAGCAACAGCAAAAGATACATAAATAAATGAAAAAATTTAACAAAGATTATTGGGCCGCGTAAGTTGCTCAGACCTGTAATCGTAATACTTTGTGAGTCTGAGCGGGGTGGATCGCTTTGGCCCGGGAGTTTGAGACCAATATGAGCAACATGGAAAAACCCTGTGTCTATCAAAAATACAAAAATTAGCTGGGTGTGGTGGCACATGCCTGTGGTCCCAGCTGCTCAGGAGGATGAGGTGGGAGGATGGCTTGAGCCCCGGAGGCAGAGGTTCCACTGAGCTGTGATTGTACCACTCGCTTCAGCCTGGGCAACACAGCAAGACTCTGCCTCAGTGAATGAGTGAATGAATAAATACATAAAACAATATTACTTTACTGTGTGATAGAACTCAAAATGAGCTCAACACATCCATATGTAATACTAAGGGTTTTTTATAAAACAACAACAACACACTTTTTGTTTCTCTGAGCTTTTACAGATGGATATTATGTCCAGATAACTATTCTGTAGTATCAACACCACAGTTAATACAAATTCTGATTATACAGAAATGATTCTTCACAGGATGTTAGCCCCCAAAACACATATATAAGTATGTAAAGCAAATATAACTAAAAATAACGGTAGGAACAAAGCTCTTCTGGAGAAAGTTCTGAAGTCTGAAGTGGTTGCTCATATTTTTAATCTAAATGCAATTATTACTACCTCAAACATATAAATCATCAAAGTAAGGGCGGGGTATATTTAGATTTTAATCACCATAATGTGGATTATGTCACATAGTAGAATTAGTCAGCTGAGTGTTTGAAAATCCTCAAGTTACTTTAAATTGCTCATACTTTGAGTGTCTACGGAACATTTCATAACTAACCTAGCAAAGTGTGATCTTTTCCCTACTTCTGTAAGACTTCCAGCCACAGAAAAGAAGCAACAGAAACTTCAGTAAAACTGCAAGACAATTACCATTGGATAATACTAAACTGTAACTATCACCTCTAACAATAAGTAGCCAGCTCCATACATCCATGAGATTGCCCATAATTATTCCTAGAAGTACTAATTAGGATCACAGGCACGTGGGGAACACTCGGTAATCGTAACATTCTCTAAACCCTCAATCACAATTTACATTGAGAAATACTTGGTTTTTATGATAAAAGAGTATGTGTATATATATGTATGTATGTATAAATATGTATATGTGTGTGTGTGTTGAGTCACTAAAAGCCCTATCTATCAGCAACATAATGCTTGATGACGGTTCCGGATGTGGGCCCCAGAACAACAGCATCAACTTCACCTGGGAACTTCTAAAGAACGTAAATGCTCAGGTCCCACCACAGACCTATTGAATCAGAAACTCTGGGACTGTCTCTCCAAATGAATTCTAGTGCACACTTTATTAAAAATGAAAAAACAAAACATAGGCCAGGCACAGCGGCTCACGCCTGTCATCCCAGCACTTTGGGAGGATAAGGTGGGAGGATCGCTTGAGCCCAGCAGTTCAAGAACAGCCAGGGCAACATAGTGAGACCTCATCTCTATACAAAAATTAAAAAAAAATTAAAGTCAACACTTAACACTTTCCCTCCTGCGAGAACAGGTAACACCACTCACACAAATGGAGGATCAAATGAAAGTTATCCTAAAAAGCAAATAAGTAAGTTTAATTAATTTTAAGAACATCCTTAATGCTATACTATTTAAAAGATTTTAAAAGAATCTATAAAGAATATGTACATTATTATCAGACAATAGGTGAGAGTCACAAAGGTAAGATTGGCACCACAAACCAAATGAAAGAAAACTAAAGCAAATAAAAATGAAGTTAAAATCAGGTCCAAGCAGAACACTGTTTTGGTAAACTTACAAAACACAGGAAGGGGTTCCACTTCAATAGAACTATATAAAGGAACCATTCCAATAATGACAGACTAGGTAACTTAGATCAGTCTTCTGACTGAGAACTAGAAAGGTGGACAAAACGTAACGATTACAGGGCTGAGAAAAGGGAACACCAGAGAACAGGGTCTTCTTTTTCCCCCTTAGGTTTTCTTCCAATGACAGAAGAGACAAAGAAGAGGTTAACAAGCTGAGCTACAACTCACAGCCTCACAGAGCTCACAGGGAGATACACATTGGAGCTCAGCATCCACGGAGGAGAGGCCCTGCTAAGTAAGTCTCCCACTCCTTAGGTTGGGAACCTGAAGAACAAACTGCAAATTGCCCTGAGAGGGAATGAGGCCAGCTTGAATTATCTCAGTCCCTGATTGGATAAGACAGTCCTGGGTTGCTACTTTCCAAGCCCGTTTCAGGGGCAAATGTAAATCCTCTCTGGAGAAGAATATCATCCAAGGCTTCAAATTAGTACTACCATTTTTCATATATAATGTCTATCACTAAAAATAAAAAGCCACATGAGACGGAGAGATGACATAACAGAAAACAAGAGAAGTAAACAACAGACACAAAACCACAAGCGATGGAGATAACAGAGTTAGCAGACACACTTTAAAATAACTCTGCTGAACATGAGCAACGAACCACAGGACAAGACTGAAAACCTGGCAGAGAAATGCCAATTATAAAAATGAACCATATGAAATGCTGCAATTTAGAACTATCACAACTGAAATTAATAACTTAATGGATAAGTTTAACCACAGCAGGAACCTAGCAGAAGAGAGATTCAGTAAACTGGAAAAAGGTCAGAAAGACAAAAATGTAGAAAATAGAGAAAACAAAAGGCAACATATTGAAAAGTTTATAACATACGTAGAGCCCTGGAAGAAAAAAAAGAATGGGACAGAAGCAATAGCTGAAGATACAGTTGCAGAGAATTTTCCAAGACTGATCAAAGACCACAAGATTTAACCACAAAAAACACCTCAAGAGAAACACGGAAGCTAGCATATGAGAATGATATCTTCAAGGTGCTGAATAAAGGAAACTGCCAACCTACAAACTTACACTTAATGAAAATACTCTTTGACAATAAAATAAAAAATAAAGGAATTTTTCTATCTGCAGACTCACACTAAAGGAAGTATTAAAGGATAGTTTCAGAGGAGAAAGAGGATCCTCGATGAAAATGTGGAGACTAAAGAGCATGAAAAAGAGCAAATATGCATGCAAATCTAAGTGAATATTGACTAATTATATAATTATGTGTAGGGTTTTAGATAAGTATAGACGTGAAATATATGAAAACAGCAGCACATATTTGGGAGGGAGGACATGAACTCACAGTGTGCTAAGGTTCTTGTATTGACAAGGAAAAGGAAAAAAATATGAATCTACGAGTTTATGTCAGACTTTCACACATCAAGGACATATTGTAACTATAGGGTAATGAAGAAGAATAAGAACTACGCTGACAGAGGCAGAAAACTAGAGTCATCAAAAAATCTAAAAGACAACATGGAGCACAAAGCAAGAAAAACTAATAGGAATGACTCATCGATAAGATGGTAGACTCGAACCCAAGTATCAGCAATAACTAATTGGCCCAATTAAAACACAAACATCATCAGACTTGATAAAAATATATGAAGAAAGGAAGATGAGACAGAAGATGAAAGATAAGAGGAAATCTTTTTCCAACTTACAATAGAAATGTAAGATTATCCACAACATACCAACTTAATGACACAAGATACCAACTTAATGACCATGATTATAATCTACTTTCAAATGAAGTAGCTCACTTTTATCTATAATTTAACAGACAGAATGAAAAGAATAGAGGTTGATGTAAAGCTTGGTAAAGTACAACTTCATTTAACCTCCTATTATTTAGATCTTTAAATATGTGAATCCCTAGGGAGTGACTATAGAACACCTTAATTGATTATGGGTGAATGAATTCATTTTAAACTGTTCAGAGTAACTCTTCTACATCAAAACCTGGGGACTCTATTCCATAAACTGTACCCTGGAACTCAAGAATCCAGATCTTAGAGAAATAAAAAGAGTTCTTCAGGAAGGGGGAAAAAAAGGCTGAGGGTGACTGTTCAAAGGAAGTTTGAGTTACCTTTGTATATATTAACTCTGAACCAGACTCTCAGGCTCTACAAGAATCTCATGAAGCTATCTGACTTCCTATTTAACATCTCAGCCTTGTAAGCTTTACTTAAGGATGAAGAACATTCTTTTTTTCAAAGGCTACATCACTAGATGGGTCTAAATAGTTACAAGTCACTTCCTTACATTGGGTAGAAAATCACCTCTTTGTAATCTGACTTACTAGTTCTAGTTTTATGCTCGGTCTTCACCAAAAACAAATAAAAACTAAAGCCTCCATATACATACTCCTTCAAACAGTTGAAGACAAGCTATCATGAACCCCCATATTTTCCTCTCCAAATCCACAATTTCACCAGGTATCCTAGGTCATGGACTAGAATGAATTTCTTTCCAATCCTAGTTTATTCTCTAAATGAACCTAAACTTATCTAAATAGAACCTTCTTAAAATACTACCTCAGAATTCAATTCAGTAATTCTGATGTTGCCTGTAACAACAGAAGACAACTTCCTTAAAAAGCACAGCAAGTCGGATTTACCAAGTAGCTGACGAGGTCGCATTCCCTCCTGCCCTCACTCCCATCTTTGTGTTATAGTTTATCTCCAGTTCCATTTTGCTTAGTATTCATGACACTCAAGTTGTCACTGTGGACATCAGAGACTATAAATATATATTGTTCTGGCTCCTTCCTGTACATCTTTCCGAGTCATACCTGCTATTCTCCAAAGTCTGTGAATCCCGATACTAATAACTTGGCAATTCAGTTTAAGGTCCTCTTCAGAAGGTCAATTAGTTCAAGGCAATCACATTCTTACCAGGACTCTTAAGAAATACTCCAACCCCAGAAAAAGGCCTTTCTTTCTGGTATCAGGAGCCATGGGCCACAAACACAAATCCAATAGAATTTCAGTCATTTACCTCCCAGATCGTCCCCTCCCTGAAGTTCTAGCTAGAGTAGGAAAAAATAATGAAAACAACACCTGTAGTCACGAATCCTCCAGTTTCCTGGTCAAGATTTCATATTCCCTTGAAGATACCTCCCACAGAGGACGTGACAAGGGAGGGGCACAAAGGGAGCTACAGGTACCGATAAGGTTCTATTTCTTTTGTGTGTGTGTGTGTGTGTGTGTGTGTGTGTGTGTGTGTGTGTATTTTGTCATCAAAGATGGAGTGCAATGGCACAACCTCGGCCCACTGCAACCTCTGCCTCCTGGGTTCAAGTGATTCTCCCACCTCAGTCTCCCACAAAGCAGGGCTTACATTACAGGCGCCCGCACCACGCCCAGCTAATTGTTTTGTATTTTTAGTAGAGACGAGGTTTTACCATGTCGGCCAGGTTGCTCTCAATCTCCCGACCTCAGGTGATCTGCCTGACTTGGCCTCCCAAAGTGCTAGGATTACAGGCATAAGCCACCAAGCCCAGCCAAAGGTTCCATTTCTTCAGTTTGGTGTTGGGCATATGGACGTATGATTTAATGTTTTAAAAAAGAAAGATATGTTCCTGGTGTTTTTGTGTTTTGTTTTTTGTTTTAGGCCTGTGTGCTTCATGCATTCCCCCACATGAATCCGTAAAGAAGTAGCCATTAGCAACTTCAGTCAATATATACCGGATTCATACTTTAGGAAGACAATCCAGTTGACAACCACAATAGTTTCTATGACAACAAAAGTGAGAGAAAATACTGACATTAGGGTCATTTCAAGAAAGTTCAATCATAAGATATATCCTCAAGCAAAAATATACACAAAAAGCTAAGTTCGAAGCTGTTGGAAAACTACTACCATCCTTAGAGTAAGTACAACAAAGTATTGTTTTATGTCTGTTTTTTTCATCAAAATACCTCATGTAGCCATAGATTTTAAACCATTACATCCCATCTAGATTCCGTATTAGATCATTAACATTTCTTCTAGATCCCACTATTATTACTTTGTAACCTTTATTTTTAGCATCTTAAAAATACTTTATTAAATATAACACATACATTCAGAAAAGTACAAGAAATACACCTTAAAGTATACCTTAACAAGTTATTGTAAACTATTTTCCCATGTAGCCACCAACCTGGTCCAGAAACATATTCCAACCAGTATCCAAGAAGCCCACAGATGTGCCTTTCAGGTCACGCCTCCTTACCTCTCGCCTGGATGGACTCCTTACCCCAACCTCTATGGAATCACCTCTTTGTTCTTGATAGTTTTACTGCTCAAGTATGAATCCAGAAATAAGTGTTTCTCAGTTTTCTTTTCATTTTAGTACCCCTAAGAAGCCTTTTTAGAAGTTTTCTTCCTAATTCTACCCCATGCTCCTGTGGTGGAATTTCAACACCACAGATATATTGTATGTTGGTTTATGTTATATGATCCTTTGGAAGGCAGCAGACCATTATAATAGGTAAGATTTTCTTTCACTCTAAGGACCAATTTTCACTCCACTGCAGGTGATATTGCCTCTACTAAGAATGTACGCCCAAGCCAACATTAGTTTTGCCTATTTTTGAGCTCTATATAGAGGAAATTGTACAAAATAGGTTTTGTGGGTCTGGTGTCTTTTGCTTAACATAGTGTTCAAGGTTCGCCCAGCTGGTCCCACTCAGCTGTAAGCCATTTTATGAATACTGCAGTTCTTCATTTTCTGTTTGGGGCTATTATAAAAGATGCTGCTCTGAACATTCCTGTCTCCGGGTGCCTACGTACTCCTTTCTTGTGGAGTATATATCCACAAAATTCCTGAACCATAGTATATGAGTATTTTCCACTTTACCAAATTGTTTCCCAAACACTTGTACAAATATACACCCCCATTAGAAAAATATAGAGTCCCCTAACAATTTTCTTACCTTAAAAGGTAAGTTCAGCAAAATATCTCCTATGCCTTCTTTTTCTTTTAAGATCTGAAGATCACTGTGCAAAGGACTATCAGGGTCAACCCTAAGAATCCCAAAACAAAAAACAGTTCAAACAAAAAGATTTTTTTTTCAACTAATTCAAAAATGAACCCGTCTAAAAGTTATAATAGAGCACCTAGGGTAAGTTCCAGAAAGAGAAGATCTTAAGCTGCTCTATATTCCCAGGAAAAATAGAGGCCACTATAGCTTCCAGTTCCTTTAAAATAAATGTCCAAAAGAGATAACAATAGCCTAAATCAGATCTAATAAGGGGGTTCAGAGTTTGCAGTCATTCTAAAGCAAAACAGTCACATGTATGTAATTTTCTCAAGAATTTAAAAGAAGTTTAATATGCTTTCCTAAACTTGTATTATTAGCCAAGGGGTTCGAGGAGAACAATCTTCCATGGATAGAACCATGAAAAGTTAAATCACTAAAAAATCGGTATTTTCCCACAACTGTCCTATACATACATGTCCAATATGATTTCCACCCCTCACCCCCCACTTTTTGTTTTGTTTCGTTTTAAGAGACAGGGTGTCTCGCTCTGTCACCCAGGCTGCAATATAATGGTGGAATCACAGCGCATTGCAGCCTTGACCTCTCCAAGCTCAAACGATCTTCCTGCCTCAGACTCCCAGCACCCCTAGGAGCTGGGACTATAGGTGTACTCCACCTATATATTTTAAAAGTAATACCATAACCTTCTCTACAATAAGAGTTGATTGTTTTGCTTTCAAAACTGGGGGAAAAGTCATAAAAGTCAACTTGGCAATCATTCTCTGTATAACGAAATGTATTACTCTCATTTACTTTCCAAGCAATATTGCTCAAGCTTGAGCTTTTTGCTAGAAGATAGAAATCATGTAAGAGTTCGCTCTATCAGGAAAATGACAAAAACAATTCTGATGGAGCTATAAAAACATTTCTTTAAATCCAAAAAACATACTTGTTTTAAACTCATCCTGTCTTACCCTCTACATCTTTTGGAACTTGGTTGCCTTTGAATTTCACAAAATAAAGCTAGTAAACATTTCCATTTTAGTCCACTTTTAAGAAATGACATTCATAATCTGACAACAGAAAAGAGCAAAAGAATAAGAAGAAGAGCAGGGATTTAGAGATCCTTCCCTGTCGTGTAACTCTGTGATCTGTAAATGTCCCTGAGCTCTTTCATAAGTCTATCTGAAGCTTGCACTGACCCAGACACAGCAGCCTGAAACATAAAAGTCGCTTTTTACCAGGGTCTACTGAGCCAACTAATTTTAAGATTTAAAGTATTTCAACCTGTTATAAAAGATTACAGTAGCCGGGCATGGTGGCTCACACCTGCATTCCCAGCATTTTGGGAGGCCAAGGAGGGTGGATCACTTGAAGTCAGGAGTTTGAAACCAGTCAGGGGGACAAGATGAAACCCCATCTCTACCAAAAAAATACAAAAGGTAGCCGGGCATGGTTGCACGTGCCTGTAGTCCCAGCAACTCGGGAGGTTGAGGCAGGAGAATCTCTTGAACCTGGGAGGTGGAGGTAGCAATGAACTGAGATGGCACCACTGCACTCTGGCCTGGGCCACAGAGCGAGACTCCATCTCAAAAGAAAAAAAAAGAAAAAGATTGCAATAAGCATGGATCATCACTCAACATTTTAAGAAGTAAAAAAAAAGTCCAATTAAATGAAGCATTATGAAGTTTCAAGAGAATATAAAACTAGACACAAGTCTGATAACTTTCTTGTTTCTTATCATCTGAAAAACTCTAACCAACATGTTCCAACTACCATGGACTCTACGATAGCAGAGAATTCAGTATGAGTCTATTCCAAATCCCAGCAATTTCTGAAAATACTTGAAGATACTCAAGGTGACACATTACTAACTAAAAAAGACTTCCATCCATAAGACTACAAGTGAGAATATTACACAGACGGTCTAGTTCACACATGGAGGCTCTGAGAACCATGTGTGCCTACATGCAACTGGTCTCAGTTTTTCAGTGCAGGGACTTCTCTAAAGAGGAAAACATATTGATATCTTATCCTAAGACTAAATAGAAATGGAACTACTTTTTGGTCATGTGAAACTAAAGGTTTTAAAGACTGCACTATACTCTGAAAAAGAATATAAATCAAGTTTACAAAGGTATTACTTTCTAGCTATGTAACCATGAGCTCATTTCCCATCTATAAAATATGAGAAGTTTCTCCCATCCCTAAAATATGAAGAGCACCTATTTCACACAGCGGCTATGAAGACTAAATCAGAAGATATATAAAGTATAAAGTACTTGACATAGTATCGGTCATGCAAAAGTGTTCAATAATTTACACTTGTTTTGAAGATAACTCAAACTAGAATCGATTACAAGACACAGAAAGTACAGTAACGTTAATTCAAATGCTACAGTTTTTTAAATAACCAAGATATGAGAAATTGTCTAAATATCTTTCCTCTATGAAAAATTATTAATTACATTGATATACAACTAAGACTGAAGGAGGGATAGTAATTTATCTGGTTTCAACACTTGGCATCTACTGGCCTAACAATTCATTCCCTGTTTTGGAGAACCTGTGCCCAAGACAAAGTAACTTGTCCTCGGCTTTCATGGAGTTGGTAAATAGCTCTAATAGAAGACAGGAAGTAGTAAGTGTTCAGACTATCATCTGACGTTTCCCTACTCTGTCTGAGCGCTTCATGTACATACACACATCATTCATTCTCATCTATTTTTCATAGCAGTCATCCAAAAGGTATGTACTGTCTATCCATATTTCACAGTTAAGCAAAGTGAAACCAAAAAAGGTATGTTTGTCACCAAACTCAATATTCCTTTCACATCCTGCCGCTTCATATAAAAGAGATGTTAAGTAAAAAGAGAAGAATAACTTTTGGTTTGGTCAGAGCAGGATGGACCAAAGTCAGCTTCCTGAAGGAGAAATAATTTGAGTTGTTTTGTAGAAGAGAATGAATGTCAGTATACAGATGCCACAGAAGGAAGGTAAGCAGAGAAAACAGCATAAACAGGCTGGAAAGGAGCATACACAGGGATCAGCAGGTGGTTCCAGGATGTGAAGAGCAGATGAACAGGGTAAAAAGTGGCTATTCTTAGATGAGAAAGATAACCTTGGGCAAGAAAACATATGACCGTGGCGAGGCACGGTGGCTCATGCCTGTAATCCTGGCACTTTGGCAGGCCGAGGTAGGAGGATCGCTTGAACTCAGGTGTTCCAGAGCAGCATGGTCAACACAGTGAGACCTCATCTCCACTAAAAATAAAAAAAAAAGCCTGGTGTGGTGGCACATGCGTATAGTCCAAGACACTTGGGAGGCTGAGGCAGGAGGATCGCTGGAGCCTGAGACATCAAGGCTACAGTGAACTATGATTGTGCCACCGCACTCTAGCCCAGGCGACAGAGCAAGACCCTGTCTCCAAACCAATAAACAGATGACTGAATCTACCACTAAGGCAGGAATGGAGGAGGAGAGCAGCCGAATTCGGCAGGTTCACGAATTGCCAGGTATTAACTATAATGGCTTAACCAAAAAGTCCAGGCTCTAGCTATTTATACACACTTACACATTTAAATGGTCTTGCCTTTCAGTCTTCCTAATTTTCTCTAATATTGCCAAATTTTCTTTTTCAATTCCTTCATCCTCCAACTTTTTCCCACTAATAGGCTCTTCTTTCATCTCACAGTGATCTCAGTCTTCTATATCCTGCAAAAAGAAGAAAAATGTTAGCTTATTCAACCTATTTTTCTTCAGCACTTTCTTATGCCAAAAGTTAAATTATTCTTGATTCAATGGGGGACAAGAAACAGAATATATCTACCCTATGGGGAGAGAGAAAAAGCCCACACATTCCATTCATGAGGCTCCTACCTTTTATACACTATATGTTATTTAAAAGCTAGACTCTGTGTAAAGCAGATTTAAAAGCTTTACAAAGTCATAACTATTAATAAATAAGCCATCATTTCTTTATTTACTTCTTTATTATTCCTTTTTTTAAATAGAGTCTTACTCTGTCACTGAGGCGGGAGTATAGTGGGGCGATCTCTGCTCACTGCAAATTCTGCCTCCCAGGTTCAAGTGATTCTCATGTCTCAGTCTCCCGAGCAGCTGAGATTTCAGACCTATACCACCACGCTCAGCTAATTTGTTTATCTTTTTCGTAGAGACAGGGTTTCACCATGTTGGCCAGGCTGGTCTCAAAGTTCTGACCTCAAGTGATCTGCCCACCTTGGTCTCCCAAAGTGCTGGAATTCCTGGCATGAGCCACCACGCCCAGCCAAGGCATCTTTTAAATCTCCTCTTAAGAGGAACCTTTGAGACAGTTTAGCAGCAGGTGTCAAGAACCTTAGCTGTTCATAGTTTGTTCCAGAAACTCGACTTCTAGAATTGTATTCCAAGAAACTAGTCTAAGATGTAAACACAAATTTAGGCATAAGGATACCTATTGCAACCTTGCAACCACAAAAGCACAGACAAAATCTGCATGTGCAAAAATAGCAAAACAGTTAACTCAATTCCATGAACTATTAAGAGGCCACTGAAATACCAACACAGCATAATTTCTCCTGTATCAAAAAACTTTGAAATGAAAAATGGAATACACAAAGGAGTAGAAAGAATTTCAATTATGCTGAAATATGCACAGAAAAAGACCAGAAGAACTTATATTGAAATGTTCGTTTCAATTAATTTTAGTTGTTATCTCTGGAGACTTTTGGTGCTTTCCCTAATTTCAGTTTATGGTTTTATATAGAAAGCATCTATTGACGTTAATAACCAAAAAATGAGTCAGAAAAAGAATTTGATTTCAGGTGCTCAGGAGGTTGAAATAGAGGGCTCCTTTGGGCCCAAATGTTTGAGGCTGCAGCAAGCTATGATGATGCCACTGCACTCCAGCATGGGTAACAGAGACCCTATCTCAAAAAATAATAATAATTTAAAAAGAATTTGAACAGTACCCCCCAAAACAACATCTTTATGCACATCATTCTGCTCCCTCCCTTCCCATACTATCTGTTCTTACACATATACAAATATATGCAGATTTTTAAAAATCCTTTTTTCAATTAAATTATTTTTCCACTTCAAATGCCAAATACTCTAAAGAAGTAGTTTATACTCATTTCGATTCTTTTTTTTCCAAGCCTGCTAATTCACTGATTTCTAGAGCAGGTTACTGACTACCTCCACTCAAACTCTGCCCATGACTCCATATGTCATGAAGCTCCCTTCTCCCTGTGTGCACCTTTCAGCCCTGACTTTCTATCCTATGCTTGTTTTCCTCCCATGCTCACAAAATGCCTTTGGTCTGTATTTCCTCCTATACCTTCAACCTCAGTCACGTTCCCATCCACACAAAACTTCTCCACCTAAGTATTAATCAGCACATCGCAAACAGAATTCAACACATATTTCTAAAACAATATCCTCAGCACACTATTCGCTGCTCAAGGTCTTCATATCAATAATCACACCAAATAGAAACACATGCCTATCTTGAATTCAAGACTTTTAACCATCTGCCTTTTCTGGCCAATCTTGCTTTCCATGACTTCAACACATCAACTTTCCTTCTCAAAAGAAAAGCATCCAATGCACCCAAACACACCATGTCCAAGGTTGTTCTGGGCCTGTTCCCATGTTCTTTCAGGAGCCTAGAATATCTGCTTTTCACCTGTCCTCATCTGACATCTCCAACGTCTAGTCTCTTACCTTTCTAGATTTCCCTCAAAGTTGCGGTCCCTTGTTCATTATCTTGTGAGGGGAAAACAAAAGCGTTCATGATCTTTAGTACAATGGCCGCCTGACCCACGGAAAAGGTTTAATGTTTTCATGCAGTTTATTCCACCTCAGCTAAACTGTATAAAAACATTGAAAGAAATTCTCATTCTAATTGGACAATTCTAAGAAGTATTTTCCTCCCAGACTCATAAAATAAGCCTACAGCCAGGCACAGTGGCTCACACCTGTAATCCCAGCACTTTGGGAGGCCGAGGTGCTGGATCACTTGAGGCCAGGAGTTCAAGACCAGCCTGGGCAACAGAACGAGACTCAGACTCCACACACACACACACAAAATTAGCTGGACGTGGGGCACCTGCCGTTAGTCCCAGCTACTCCGGAGGATTGCTTGAACCTGGGAGTTCAAGGTTGCAGTGAGCCGTGACCACGCTACTGCACTCCAGCCTGGGTGACAGCGAGACCCTGTCTCAAACAAACAAACAACAACAAGTCTACAACACTACTTCTTCAGTTCTGAAGCACTCTAAAAGTATATTTTAGATTAATAATTTCCAAACTAAGAAAATGAAAGTCTGAATTAATTGTAAGACCCCAAACAGAAAATATATTTTAAAACAATCAAGACCATAAAATTCACATGCCTTCTATTTGGTCAATGCAGAGACAAAGATCTTTGTTCCAAGGTTTTAATGTAAATGCAAAGCTTCAGAGCCTGAAAACATCTGAAATTATACCCAGAACTGACAACTGGCCTAGGCTCAATGTCATTGGAATTTGCTCTACTAAATTTTCTACCATTTGTATGTGTTCCTCCAAAATTCAGGTGTTTCTAATGTGATGATATTAAGAGGTAGGACCTTTAAGAGGAGATCAGGCCAACAGGGCTCCTTCCTCCTTAATGGGATTAAGGCCGTGATGAATGAGGCTTCACACATGGGACTAGCTTGCTCTCCTGCCCTTCTGCCTTCTACCATGGGAGGATGCCACAAGAAGGCCTTCAGACATTAAATGTTGGTATTTTCATCTTGGACTTCCCAGTCTCCAGAACTGTTAGAAAATAAATGTCTGTTCTGTATAAATCACCCAGTCTCTGGTATTCTGTTATAGCAGCATAAAACAGACTGAGAGAAAATTCCGTGATGATTTTTCAACAAGAGACAGTTTCACTACTTCTGGTGAATAGTCCCTAACATGTTCTCAAATTCTCCTTTTATGCAAACATAACATTTTTTAAACGTAGTAGTTCCTCTTCCTAAAAATAACCGAATGCATGTTAAGGACTGATTACTATTAAATATAAATACAACTTTGGTGGTAAAAGTTAAGGACTTTTGTTTTCCATGAAATCGAAATCCAAAGAATTCATATAAAGCATTTGCTCAAAGGCGTGTCATCGGTTAGAGGTAAAGTCAAGAGTTGAGAAATTATATTGCATTCCAAATACAATGTGCTTTCAATTATTGCACATTAATAGTAGTTTACAAAGGAGATTCATGGAATTACTCAAATCAAAAATGACGACATTTATGAAATGTCGTTCTTATCCTACTTCAGCCGTCTCCTCTTCTTCCTCTTCCTCTGAAATCACTTCCTCTGTTGTCCCATTCTGAAACAGAGAAAGAATCTGCCAGGGTTACACAGGCTGAATACAGGCTAAGTCCATTAGGAGACTGGTGCCATAGCTTTAGGGACAAACTGTCAACCATCTGTCACTGCAGTGCCACTACCAGAGAGCTTATTAACATTAAATGTTTATTTTTAAATCCAACTCTGGTTTGACAAACAACAGTCATCAGCTTTTAAAAACGGAACAGAAAATAGAAGAATTAGGAATAAAAAAAGCAATCAAATATAAATATGAAATATATAAGTCAAATATAAAGCAAAACTGAAAACAACATTAAAACAGAATCTAATTTAAAATAAGAAAACATTTTACTTACATGGCTATGTGTATAAGATCAATGACTTATTTTATAAAAAATAAATATAATCAACTATCCATTCCTTAAAATAATTACCTTTTTAACTTTGAAAAGCCTGAATCATTACGTAAATTCAATTGCCTTTCATTTTAAAAGATCAGATGTGTGATTTATAGACACTTCACAAAACTAAGAATTATGAAATGATTACCACCTTACTCAAAGGCAAATTTTAGTTTTAAATACAAGTTATTTACTACAATATAACTCTCTGCAAGACAGAACTTACCAACTGACACAATTGACGATCATCGAGTTTAGAAATGAATTTAATGGGGTTTTAGGAAGGGCCTTCATACCCAGTTTGGACAAATTTCAAAAGATAAGCTTCCTGGCCAGTGTACAGTATATAAATGCATCTTTATTCATGAAGGCCAGTTCAGGTTAGAACCCAGAATATGTAACATATCAAGAAACTAGGATCCGGAGATCCAGTAAGACCAACAAAGGTCTCAGCACTTTCTAAGCGTCTGTTCTCAGATACTCTGATGGAGGAATACTTAAGAAAAACAAACCCATGATCACAGAGGGTGTTAGAACTCTTTTGGATTAGTGAGCTGGAGAATGCCATGTAGATAAACATAACCATGCAGAATTAACTTGTATTTCCTTTAAATCTGCATCTCTTTAGACATTCTTTGTCTTCTAAAATCTAAATGGAAAAAGGAAGCAAGCAGCAGCTTCCAACACGTAATTCACACCTTCTTCATTTCCATAAATTGTTATATTTTGGGTATCTAAAGAATATATACTTAGCCTACAAGTCCCAAAGACTTTGGTTGCATCAGTGATTGAAAGAGTATTTTTGAAATGCTCATTTCAAAGCCCACCCAGAGAATCTGTTTTCCTTGTTGTTGTTGTTTGTAAGGGAGTCTTGCTCTCTCACCAGGCTGGAGGACAGTACCAGGATCTCAGCTCGCTGCAACCTCTGCCTCCTGGGTTCAAGCGATTCTCCTGCCTCAGCCTCCCGAGTAGCTGGGACTACAGGCGCCTGCCACCACGCCCAGCTAATTTTTGTACTTTTAGTAGAGACAGAGTTTCACCATGTTGACCAGGATGGTCTCGATCTCTTGACCTCATGATCTGCCCACCTCTGCCTCCCAAAGTGCCGGGGAGAATCTGTTTTTAAAAAACTCTCTGAGGTGATTCTGACATGCATCCATGTCTGTAACCATCAGCCCAGTTACTCTCTTTCATTTTACAAATGACAAAGCTGAGCCCCCACCCCTCAAAAAGGGTAAGTAATTTAATCAAAACAAAAAGTGAGTTAGGGTTGTGAAATCCTAAGATGAATTTCTTTTCAGGATGTGGCCTGGTCCTCTTTCCAAAATCCCATCAAAATGACAGTATTTTATTAAGAAGAAGAAGTCTGCCGCAGCAGCAGAAAAATAACACATACAAGGAGAATACCCTGAGTGAACCAAAACCACAGGGACATGCTGGAAGACACAAAGCAGATGGAATCAGACTGCTGGGCTTGACAAAGCCACAGACCCAATCCAAATAATGGAGGGACCACTTTTTTCCAGAACAATCTAACATTCTTTACTGTACTTCTCCCAGCTACTGTTGGTAAGGATCACCCTCTGATATAGGAAGCCTGTCTTGATGGCCTCTTACTATGAGTGTGAAAACCAGAGAAAAAAGACAATGTTTTTAATATAACTCAACACAGCAGCAAAATCTTGAAAGAGACACCATCTCTGCCTTTTAACTCAGGAGCTAGAAAGCTCTCCTGCCAGCATCTCCCCACCCTGGTGCCACAGGATGAGCATGAGTCTGCAAACCAGGAGAGGGTGGCCCCAGCAGAAAAGAGTGACAATTCTGAAGACACGTGTGATGGTTAATACTGAGTGTCAACTTGATTGGGTTGAAGGAATCCCAGCAGTTTGGGAGGCAGAGGTGGGTCATTTGAGGTCAGGAGTTTGGGACCAGCCTGGCCAACACGGTAAAACCCCGTCTCTACTAAAGACACAAAAGTTAGCCAGGCGTGGTGGCGGGCACCTGTAATCCCAGCTACTCAAGAGGTTGATGCAGGAGAATCGCTTTAACCCGTGGACTGTCAAGAGACATAGGCTGCAGTGAGCCAAGATCGCGCCACTGCACTCTAGCCTGGGTGACAGAGTAAGACCCTGTCTCAAAACAAACAAAAAAACAAAAGAAAAAGAAAACTTTTTTTGAGCGAAGTTTCGCTCTTATCCCCCAAGTTTGAGTGCAAGGGCTTGATCTCGGTTCACCGCAACCTCTGCCTTCCGGGTTCAAAGGATTCTCCTGCCTCTGCCTCCCAAGGAGCCGGGATTAAGTCACCTGTCACCACGCCCGGCTAATTTTTGTATATTTTAGTAGAGACAGGGTTTCATCATGTTGGCCAGGCTGGTCTCCAACTCCTGACCGCCTGGGCCTCCCAACGTGCTGGGATTACGGTGAGCCACTGCGCCCGGCCGAAACACCGAAAAGCTTAAAGGCCTTTCCCCTTCCCCGCCCGGGCTCAAAAAACGCCGGAGCCGCTCTGCACCGCCCTGTCGCGGTCCCCGGAGCAGGCCGGCTGACTCGGGCGACCCTGGCTCCCGAGAGGGCTCTGGCCACCACGGGCTCCCACCTCTGGGCGCGGCGACAGGTGCCGAGACGGGCCGGCAGCCCCCAAGCCAGCCCCCCGCCAGGAGCCGGAGAGACGCGGCCTCCGCCTCCTCCCACCCAAGCCTCCCTCAGTCCCGGGGGCGGGCCGGGCTAGTCGCGGGAGAAAGGGGCGGGGAACCGGGGTCTCTCCGGGGCAGGCACCCGTTTGTTCCGGGACTCCAGGCGCCCCCTCTCCGCCCTCACCCTGCCCCGCGAGGCCTCGGCAGGGCGCCTCACCGTCATGTTGCTGTGGAGCGTGAGCCGGCGGCTGCGGGCTCCTGGTTCTTGTGGAAGACAGATGCCAGCAACTTCAGTTTGGCCTTGAGCCGGGACACGGACATCTTCCCCTCATCTCCGGCGGGAGGGGCGCGGAACGGGAGACTCTCCGGAGCCGCTGTCACGGCCGCGACCACCCGCGGGGCCGCCCTGCAGAGCTCTCCCAGCTCCGCCTCTCCCCGCCTCCTCCAGCCTCCTGGGAGCGCGGCTGGAAAATGGCAAGGGGCACGGAGGTGGCCTTGGCGGGAGCTGTGTGGAGGCCTGTGGAGCTGCTCCCATTGTAACCCATCCACCGACGGGAGGCGCCGCTCCTGTCAAGCCGCAGCTTAAAAGGGCGACAGCACCACCGCCCCCGCTACCGCCTGGGAAAGGGCTGCCTGCGTCCCCGTCCCTGTCCCCGTCGCCCCTCGCCCTTCACCCTTCAACCCGGCGTGCCCCGCGCGCATCCGTTTTGGCGGGTGCACGAGTCCAGAGCGTGCGCGCGCCCCCGGCTGCCCCCTCCTCCCTTGACCCAGCACCTTTCTGCCTGACCCATCTGGTCCCTTCCTCACACTGGCTGACAGGAGGCTCAGGGCGACACAACCAACTCTGTAACTCTGTGTGTGTGTGTGTGTGTGTGTGTGTCTCCCAAGGGGGGGGTTGTGTGTGTGTCTCCCAATGGTGTGTGAGTGTGTGTTTGCGTGTGTCTGTCCATCTCCCAAGGGAACAGAGCACTGCTGAGTTCAGGCTGATTATTAGCTCGTGGACTGTTAGCAAAATACAGTCACAAGAAGGCTGTGTGCTGATTTGTCTTTTGCGGTGACATCATGTTGCTCATGTTTTATGTTTTTCAGAGTTCATTAGTTTCTATTTGTTCTCAGTTAATATCTAGCTCCAGAGATTGTGTAAGTAGAATACCCCCAAACTGAAAATCACCTAGGGAAAATATAGGAAACATATGTCACCCATTTAAACTATAGTTGAAAACGTGTACACTTTAGTTTCCTGTAGCCAACACTGGATCATGGGTAAGGGCACAGAATCCCAGGGTTGGACTGCCTGGGTTCAAGTTCCAACTTAGCCACTTGCTGGCTGTGAAATACTTGACAGCTTTAAGTGTCAGTTTCTCTCTCTCTCTTTTTTTTTTTAAACTTAATCCCAAATGTGATAGTAAGTCTCAGTTTCTTGATCTGAAAAACAAATTATTCAACGAGAGTCGGTGTGAAAACTTGAAAGTTTTTAAAGCCACCGCCTGGCTCAGGAAAGTCCTCAGCTTTAGCGGTTATTAGCTATGATAATTATTGTGTTGGCTACACGTGCATTAATGAGGCAGGAAAATGCTCAGGGACAACAATGAAGAATCCTAATGATCTCATCGGACCGGGAGGGAGGCCTATGTGTCCATGCTCATGTTTCAGCTCAGAGCCGTTTGTCTAGAAGGCTCTTGAACTCAGAGACCCAGGCACTATCAAGTTGACTTTGCTGTGGAGCCCGCACTTTTGTTGATCAATGAAATTGACATAATGCTTGTTTTTTTTTTTTTTTGCACCAACCATGTGCCTAGAGTTACTTGTGTCAAGAGGAGCATGCTTCAGTTGGCTGGAGTGAGCAATTCATCTTGTGGAGGAATGAGAAATGTTAGTGCTGAGACAAGAAACAGAAAACCCCAGGGTAAGGTAGGAGTCACTGAAAGTCAGGCAAAGGAACTGCCATCCAGTAACGAGTTAGGCTTTGTCGGCCTCTGGAGAGGAAAAAATTAAGCCAGGCCCGAGGGCACAGATCCTAAGGGAATGTGGCAGCTCTAGGCTGTCTATGGAAGAGAAGCAGAGGGTGGCACCTGGTTGAAAGAGGGGGCTGGGAGACATAGCTTGAGCCTGTGTTTACAGATGGAGTCTCCTGATTCCTGCGACTGGGGAAGGAGATGGTGCCAGGATCAGGGGACCTCAAATCAGAACTCTTGCCACCAACACCCCTTCTTTTTAGGGCATCTTTCACTGCAAACAACAGATAAACTAGTTGGAAAGCTCAGCAGATTCTCACGGTGGTGCCTAGCAGGCCTAGCTGCCCTTTAACCTGTGACTGAGAATGATGCTACTGGCCTGTAAGCACACATAGGAAAATCTTTACATCCAGGGACACGCCATGCCCCACGGAGACAGCTGTGTATGGTTCTTTAGGTTTGAGGTGCTGTGCTGGCAATTGCCTTATAAATATGTAGGATTAAAATGGGATGCCCTGGAGCTTCGCTAACCTTTATCCTATCCCTCCCCCTGCGCCCCAAAATGAAGGGGCTGCTAGTTTTGTTTGCTTTATGAAAGATGGATCTGTCATTGTTTTTAGAACCTTTGGAGAAAGATTTCTTGGGAGGAAGCTATCCTGAACCCCCAGAGATTTTCTCATTTACTGGGCACCAGGTTTAGAGTCCTAGGTCTTCATCCTGGCTCAGCCACCCTCCAGCTGTGTGACCTTTGAGAAGTTGCTTGTCTACACTGAGTCTCGTTGTCACCTATGAGTGGCGGCTGCTACATTGCTACTGTTTGGAGCACCTACCCCCAGGCACTCTTACAGCGTGATGGTGAAGATAAAATGCAATAATAAGGCTGAAGGGAGAGGATCGCTTGAAGCCAGGAGTTTGAGACTAGCCTGGGCAACAAAGCCAGACCTCATTTCTGTGAAAATGTTTTTAAAAAAATTAGCTGGACTTGGTGGCTTACTCCTCTAGTCCCAGTTACTGGGGAGGCTGAGGTGAGATCACTTGAGGCCAGGAGTTCAAGACCAGACTAGACAACATAGCAAAACCCTGTCTCACCAGACACTAGAAAAATTAGCTGGGTGTGGTGGTGCACACTTGTACTCCCAGTTATCCATGAGGCTGAGGTGGGAGGATCTCTTAAGTTTAGGTGTTCAAGGTTACAGTGAACCATGATTACACCACTGCACTCCAGCCTGGGCAAGAGAATGAGACCCTGTCTGTAAAGAAAAGAAAAAGTAAATAAGTAAAATTTAACAACAAACTGTGGGCCGCGTCCGGTGTCTCATGCCTGTAATTCCAGCACTTTGGGGGACTGAGATGGGCAGCTCACGAGGTCAGGAGTTCAAGACCAGCCTGATCAACATGGTGAAATGACGTCTCTACTAAAAATACAAAAGTTAGCCAGGCATGGTAGTGCACGCCTGTAATCCCAGCTACTCGGGATGCTGAGGAAGGAGAATCGCTTGAATCTGGGAGGCAGAGTTTGTAGTGAGCTGAGATTGCGCCACTGCCCACCAGTCTGGGTGACAGAGCAAGACTCTGTCTCAAAAACTAAACCAAACTAAACTAAAATTTAAAAACATTTTTAAAAGTTGGGTTTTTGATGAGATAACATTGACAAACAACAGGAAACATGACAACTGGTACTGGAAAAACTCAGGCCGGGTGCGGTGGCTCAAGCCTGTAATCCCAGCACTTTGGGAAGCTGAGGTGGATGGATCACGAGGTCAGGTGATCGAGACCATCCTGGCTAACATGGTGAAACCCCGTCTCTACTAAAAATAACAAAAATTACTCTGGCATGGTGTCAGACACCTGTAGTCCCAGCTACTCAGGAGAGTGAGGCAGGAGAATGGTGTGAACCCGGGAGGCGGAGCTGGCAGTGAGCTGAGATTGCACCACTGCACACCAGCCTGGAGAGCGAAACTCCATCTCAAAAAAAAAAGTCAAAAAAACAACAAAAAACCAAACCCTCAAAGGATCACTAGTGGCTATTATTAGCAAATATATGCAAAGAAATAGGAAAACCTACTAAAAATGGATAAATTTCCAGACACATCTAGACTACCAAGATTAAACCATGATGAAATCCAAAACCTGAACAGACCAATAACAAATAATGGGATCGAAGCAGTAATAAAAAGTTTCCCAGCAAAGAAAAGCCTGGGACCTGATGATTCACTGCTGAATTCTAGCAAATATTTAAAGAAGAACTAATACCAACCTTACCCAAATGATTCCAAAACGAGAGAAGGAGGGAATACTTCCAAACTCTTTCTATAAGGCTAGTATCGCCCTGATACCAAAACCAAAGATACATCCAAAAAGAAAACTACAGGCCAATATCACTGATGAATGTTGGCACAACAATCCTCAACCAAATATTAGGTAACTGAATTCCACAAGCATTAAAGTTGGGGTGCAGTGTCCCAGGTTCACTCAACACTTCCTGTTTTCCTCTCTCTGTGTGTCTACTTTGCTGTGTTTCCTGGTGGCAGCAGCAGTGGCAATGTTGGTGCGTGGGCCTCCCAGGACAAGGGGAAAGTGAGTGTGCCCTTTTCTCGCCTCCTGCCAGGCGTCTGCAGCCTGGCACAAGCTTTGTCCAGGTCTCCAAGCCAGGGACCTTGATATGTTCTTTTCCAATTTCTGGATTGGTAACTTGAGGCAAATTCTGGGCACTAGAGTCAGAACTAAGATGAGACTGAATCAAGGGAATCTGGGGTCCTGAGAGGCAGAGGCCTGAAACCGTCTAGAGCCATGTGGGGAGCTGGGTGCGTGTTCAGGCCAGTTGCTTCTCTCTGTGCCTCAGTGTTCCAGGTACCTTTGGAGGGGCTGAGATCCTAGGAATTCCTGGAGCCTGGCTGCATGGCCTGGCCACCCTGATGCCCTTGTGTTCTCCATGATAGGGCAGCAAAGCCGAGGAGAATGGCTCCGACAGCTTCATGCACTCCATGGACTCACAGCTGGAGCGGCAAATGGAAACCACCCAGAACCTGGAGAACTCCTATATGGCCATTGTCAACAACACCATGTGGGACCTCACGGTTGGTGTCACGCCCAAGACCATCATGCACGTCATGATCAACAACATGCATGCACCGCCTCATGGGGACAGGGGGCTCCTGTGGCACTGGGGATGGAGATAGCCATGTTGGCCTGGGGGAGATGCTAACCAGCCCTATGGGACCAGGTTCAGGGTGGCAGACACGGTCCAGACCAGAGCTATCTCATGGAAATATAACATGGGACTGAGGACGGTGACCCATGCCTGTAATCCCAGCACTTTGGGCGGCCAAGGCGGGAGGATAGCTTGAGCCCAGGAGTTCAAGACCAGCCTGGGCAACATAGTGAGACCTGGTCTCTACACAAAAATTTTAAAAATAGCTGGGCTTGGTGGTGGCACGTGCCTATAGTCCTAGCTACTCGACAGGCTGACGCTGGAGGATCACTTTGAGCCCAAGAGGCTGAGGCTGCGGTGAGCGGTGATCTTGCCCACTGTACTCCAGCCTAGCGACCGAGTGAGATCCTAGCTCCAAAAAAACTTTATTTAAAAAACTAAGTAGACAGGTGTGCTGGTGGCATGATAGGTCCTGGGTCCCCTCCCAGACCTGTGACCTTGGACAGGTGACTTTTCCTCTGGACCTCAGTGTCCCTATCTGAGTGAGAAAAGGGCGGTGGGGAGGCAGATCTTTGAGTCTAAGCGGTGTAGAAGCTGTGTAGAAGCCATACTCAGGGCTCCAAGTCCAGCACACAGTCCCAGAAGGGCCCGGCAGGAGGCCAGGGCAGTGCAGGCATCAGATCCCAACCTCCTTCCCTCTGTGCCCACTCTCAGACCAAGGAGTTCATCTTCTTGGAGCTGCTGTCCACCCTGGCATCCTGAAATTGAACCTGCAGGACAACCAGGAGTCCTGTCCCTGTACTCGTGTGGGGACCAGAACACGCTGATGGAGGAGTCAGCAGACCAGGCACAGTGGTGCGCTGAGATGCTGTGCATGCACCACATGCTGAAGGAGGCGCTCAGCGTCATCGGCGACATCAACAAGGCCACCATCAGCACGCCCACGTGGTCTGTGGACAACTCCTGGCTGCAGGTGCCGAGAGTCCTTGCCGGACGCAGGTACGATGGCCGGCCCCCAAGGCCCCAAAGTCCCCCAGGCCCCATGGCTGAGCCTGGGGCTCTTGGAACAGGCTCTGTGCCCAAGCTGACAGACGTGGGTGCTCTCTGGAACCATCAGAAAGCTCATGGTTTATGGTGTAAGGGCTGAGAGCTGGGAGGGGGTTGTGTGTGGGGCTGCACTCTGAGGCGGCCAGAGGCCTAGGAATGTCATCCTGGGCACGCCGTACCTGTTGTGCAGTCTGAGTCATGCTGCCAGGGCAGAGTATCCAGCTCCCAGCCTGGGAGTGCTGAGAGCCAAATCCACTGCAGAGGAGGGGTGAGAGTCAGGGTCCCACCTCCTCTATCTGTCGGCAATCCAGTTGTGATCTAGGATAAAACCTCGAGAGTCCCATACACACGGTCAACCCAGAACACACCTCACAGGCCAGGTAGGGACACACAGCCCCCTTCTCTCCCTCCCAGGTCCCATCATAGCTGCCAGCGTGTGAGGGAAGGCAGGGTCCCTGGTCCCCGCTGAAGCACTATCTCAGGCTAGCAGGCTCACGCACCATGGCCTGTTGCTCCTAGAGGTCGCCTCTGCTATTCAGCCAAGGGGACCACAGTGCCTGGTGTCCTGGCTGAGCTCTGCCCGGCAAGCCCACCCACCTCCCCTGCCATGGACTCTCCCTCTTCTGCTTTTCCCAACAGGAAGGGCCCAGCCTCACTTACACGACCTGCAACCCCCAACAAGCTGAGGCTCCCCTATTAGACTTATAAGCTATAGCCAGTGGCATCCGGCTGCCTGCCCTCCCTGCCTCCCCCAGGGTCCCTTCAGAGGATCCTGGGCCTTCTGACTGCCCAGAGGGTTCTCCGGCGATCACTTCAGCCATCCATCCCTTTTAGCTTCATCATTCCTGGTTCAAGCAGTGTTCCTTCTCTGTCAGGCCTGGTGGCTGTTGCGTTGGGCTCCCCAAGGCGAGAGGTGGCCCCAGATCAGTCGGTTGGAAGACAGGGTGACCAGAGAAGAGGGAAGCCCGAGGAGGCTGAGCACTGGTCTGACCGGTGGGTGCATTACCTGGGTGCCGTGGATGAGGCCAGCGTGAGTGGGGTGGGGAGGGCCGCCACAGCTCCCAGGCTGTGGTTCCAGGAACCTTGACACGCCCACACCTGTGCCTGGCCCTCCCACAACAGCTGTGGCACATCTGTGCTCTGCACTTGCCTCACCAGCTCTCTGCTCACTTTTCTCCCTCCTGTTTTCTCTCTGCTTTCTCTCCAACTGCCAGCCGACCGGGTCCGGCAAGTCCATTCCATCCTGAGAGCCCCAGGCCCTCCTTCGACCTCTAAATAGTTCCCCCCTCTTCTCAGAGACCTCCCTTTCCAAGCCTGCCTGGGCGGCTGTTCTGTGATTTGACAGTGGCTCCCCCGGCCCCAAAGCCAGCCCCCTTCATCTGTGACTTGGTCTGGTGTAGTGGTGAGTTGACACCTCCAGGTGTGACTGTGTCTGAAAACGTGTGCCCTCCTCTGTGGTATGTCCCTGCCCTGTTCTATAAATATCTATAAGTACACACACACACACACACAGACACACCGCTACATGTGGCTGGCCGCCTGGCCTCTAGCACTGGGAAGCAGTCACTATGCTGTCTTTTTGGAATCTTGTGCGCCAATGAGAGAAAGTTGTCCCCCGACATTGCCCCTCCAAAGTGAAGCACCTCCAGTGAGCCTCCCTGTCCTGCCCGGCCTACGGAGAGCCCCCGCCATCCCTCCCAACCCCTACCAAGCATGGGAGTGCTGTGCAGGCAGCTGTGTGGCCTGACAGTCTCTACCAGTCCTGCTGTCCCTCACACCCATTTCTGGATGGCGGGGAAATGTGTCCTCTGCTGGCTGTGTTCTCTGTGGAGCTCAGGGGAGGGGAAAGGCCAAGCCATTTCTAGGGTGCTGTTGGGAGCGGTGAAAAGGCCATACCCTTTCCAAGGTTCACTTTTCCAGGAAAGCCCCTGAAGCTTCCCTGGCTCTTATCCTGTGAAGAAGGCTCTGGCCACCAGGGGGCAGGGCCATGAAGGCAGCCTGGAGGGAGCCTGCGGGGCAGCCGGCGCTCTGGAGGGACAGACAGAAGAGGCCACCAGGTGCAGACAGGAGAGGGAGGCACGGGGACGGAATGGAAGACGCCTGGGCTGGGTGGAAGTCAGTGCCCTTAGGTGCTGGTACCTGTCTTCCCGGCCACCGCTAGATCAGGCTTCTGAGCCTGTTGGCTGTCAGGGTGGGACCGCGCCCAGTAGGCGCCATGGCAGTCCCCGGGGAATCCCCCAGGTGCCACCAGGCAGCATACAGGTAACAGGCCTGGAAGGTCCCCAACAGCCTAGCTGGACATGCTCAAGACACTCTGGGGCTCCTCGTTTGGTGGCAGAAACTCTAGGAGCCATTGAGTGAAACGGGAACACACCAGGCCGAGGAGTATGGTTAAATCTGTTTATTCCAAAATAAAAAGCAAAATAAACAGGAGTCGCATCACCAGGGAGCCACGACCCCATCCCCGCCTCCTTCCTGTGTCCTATGCTAGCAATAAATAAGTTTCCCAGCCACAAATAATTATTAGAACCTCCTCCCCATGTGCCAGCTCCAACCACCGCTAGGTCCGATACAGCGGCGGCCCTACCCTCTGGAATATACAAAACGTTACACAGACAAAATGTGTACACTGGAGAAGGGGGCCCATGCCAGCAGCCCGTGTCCTCGCCTGGTCCACAGTTAGCCCCACTGTCCTGCCTCACTTACCTCTCTGAATAAGAAGGCGGGAGCCCCCCTGAGAGAAAAGTTGCTATGCTGAGAGTAAGGAGGCCGTCAGAGTTATGCTTAAAAATTTTTACTTTTTAAGGTCTTGTCTTGCCACCCTAATTGTAAAGGGGTGACTGGGAAGGGGTGGTAGGGTCATGGTGGCGGTGGAGACTCCAGCCCCATTTCTCCAGGCTTTGCTGACACGGAACTGCTTTGAATTTTTATTTTTATCCCATGACTTGTTTTTTAAATCGCATCACTTCTTTTTCATAACGTTTGGTAACTTTGCATAAAACTTTTTTCTACATTTTTGCCACATTTTTTCACTTTTTTATCCCATAACTTTTTTCACTCCATAACTTTTAAAATCCCATAACTTTGTAAATTTGTGTTCTTTTTATAAACACTTGCATAGTTATATTACAATTTTGTAAAAATGAAACAGATTATCTCATGCCAAGCATGCCCGGAATTTGCACAGTATCAATACCTTTAACACTATAGTTTTCAAGACTCGCAAAATAAAATTTTAAGGCAAAAACAGCACTTTGCAACAACTTAATCATTTATTACATTAGAGTAGCATCACACCAGCAGTCAACAATGTCACGTTAGGGGAAAAGTCTTTCAGTATTTCCAGTATAAATTCTGTTTACAAGAATTCATAAATTGGTAAAATTCATTCTAAGAAAACTTGGCAAATAAAGCTTTGGGCTGGAATTGGCATTTCTTTCTCTACTTTTCCTTCCCACCGTTTCGTTCTTTTAAACTACAGTGTTCATATTTTAAAATGTTTTAACTTATTTCAGAACACTAAGATAGCAGTTACATTTTTTAATAGTTATATTATTTTAAAATGACTCTTTAAGATAAAGTTTTAGAGAAACTATATTATGCATAGGGCTGATTTACATTTTCAAATTTTCTAAAAATCAGCTTAGAAAAGTTTCAGAGCTGAGTTTTTTCCATTTCTGGAAAACCTATCAGGTTTAATCAAATACTTTCACATTTATTCAGTTGAACTCACATTTTAAAATTCTATGTTTCTGATGAACTCTAACCTTCCAATGTTGCCTTCTAAGCAAATTGAAAGCTGCCTTACACTGAATGAGGAAGAGCACAAATACTTGGCTGAATGAGGTATCGCAAAAGACTGCGTGCACTTTGAAGACTTACGTTATTGTCACACCATTTCCATTCTTTTTAGCTTTTTCTTAAATATATGACAAATACCTACACAAAGAATGGAATTTCAGTTAATACAGTAAATTTATTTTCCAGACGGACATTCAGCTGAAATATACCAGCGTGTGATTTAACCCATCGGCACCTGATCAACACATTATGTTCAGATTGGTCACAGATGCTAAACACTATCTGAAGGTCATGCCCAGTCACTGATATTTATCAGGGTGAAAGGGAAGTTATTTGAACGATAACAGTACCTTTGAAAGAATTTATTACTCCCATCACCAGTACACAGAAAATGGGGGAAAGGCTGTTTCCAGTTCTCCACCTTTAAACAACTCTAACGTCAGTACTCACGGTGGCATCTATTACAAAGTAATCAACAGTGCACACTTGAGGGCAAACCGCATATTGAGCTAATGAAGGGCTCACTGTGATTAAGATTAGCTCCAACATAATAGCAGAATATAAGCAAATTTTATCTGAATTCTGTAATGAACATACATGCTGCAATAACATTAAAAAAGCATGGCAGCCTGTTCCAAACCAGCGAGAACAGTTTTGTGCAAACAGTGGGTCTTTGGGTGTTTGAACTCCCACCACATAAGGGCGAACTCGATATGCATGCTAATGACCTACAATTATGAAATTAAAAACGAAAAATGCTAAAGGATGCCAGAGTGAACCTCAGTGAAGGCCACAGAGACCCACTCTCTTTTAACTTTTTACAAATAAACTTAAAGTATAAATTAGAAACACAAATAAACATGAATAGCTCTAACATTCGAATGAAGTAAATGAATTGTGTAGGAGATCAACCCTATAAGTTTCTTTTTAAAAAATGTCTTGATCAGCTCTTTGATGACGGTGATGTTTATCTCCTTCTTCTCCGCAGCCAAGCCCAGCAAAAGAACGGCATGCAGCGGTTGCTGCCCAAGCCTGGGTGCTCCTGATGCTCCTGGTGCTCCTGGTGCTCCTGGTGCTCCTGCGCGATGGGCTGTGCAGTGGGGTTGTCGTGGGGAGACCCCTCCGTGGCCTCTCCTTGCCCAGTCTTGGCGCTGTCGCTGAGGCTCAGCTCACAAAGATCTTTGGAGAGAGGGAGGCGGGGATGTGAGCACAGTGCAAACCCCCTGCTGCTGCCTGCCCGCCCTGCATGAGGGCTCTACTCACCACCATGCTTGTGGGCAGCCCCAAGCTCCTGGGGGGGTGGGGCTCCTGGACCGGGCTCATTATCAGGGCTCTGGGCAGCGGCCAGGAATTTTCTGTGCCCTTTGTTGCGGTCAGCACCAGCCGCAACAGCAACTCCTGCAGCTCTAGCAGCTCCACCTAGAGGGAGGGGTGCTCAGGTGTCAGGCTGCGGCCGGCCCCCACCTTCACGCCACCCCCACCCCCGACCCCTAACCCCGCAAGGAGGTTGCACACCCTACCTTCATCTCGTCGTCTTGGGCCAGCCTGATGATGTCCTCCTCCCGGTGTGGCCTCTGTGGCACAGCCCTCTGGCTCCGTTATAAGGTGTTTAATTTTCCTGCGGGAGGACGGGGCTCAGACCCTGGGGCCGCTCCGATGGCCCTGCAGCTCCCCCTGCCTTGCTCTGGCCTCCCACTCACTGATGGCATCTCTCCCTCCAGTAATGCGTGAATCGATGTTCTAGTTTCTCCACACGCTCCCTCAGGTCCGCCTTCTCCTCTAGGAGGTCCATAAGGCCGCTCTGGAGCCAAAATAATGGGGTCACCTCTCAGCAGCGACCTGCCTACCCCTGCCCTTCTTGGCCTATTCCAGGACTCACTCACCTCCAGCTTCTCCATGACTTCCTGCAGGGCCTGGGGGGTCTCCCCACTCACAGACTCGCCCCCAGTCCCTGGGGCTGGGACCGCTGCCTCTGGCTCCTTCTGGATCGAGGTTCCTGTCTCATTCACCTGGCCCAGCTTCTCCTGCAGCTCTTCGACTTGCATCTCCAAGTGCAGTGCGCACTTGTTCTCATTGTTCTGGACAGAGAGAAGCAATCAGCAGCCACCCACTGCAGTTGGAGACCCTAGAACTCGGTGTCTGCGCCCCATGGCACCGGGAAGGGTGGAGGCAGGTTAGAAAAATCATCTCTTCTCTCCCACAGCCACCAGAGCAGGGCTCTGGCTCACAGGTGCCTTTAGAAGTAACATTTCACGTGAGGGCTACACTGCCCCCTTTTAGGGGTGGGAAAACAAAGGCCTGGAGGGCTAGGGAGGAGGGCAGGCTCCGCAGGTGGGGCAAGCAACCAGCTCCTCGACGCCGCTCTGTGGCTCGGCCAGCTGCTGAAGCCTCTCCTCCTGCCTCCCAAGCCTCTCCTTTTGTGGCTGGTTCAGGAGACTTACGTGTTGATGGTTTTCCACGTGGGCCTGGAGCTCTGCTGACACCCTCTCTAGTTCCTTCCTCAGGTGCTGCAGCTCCTCCTCAGGGGGCACTGCTGGGGGCTCCGGGGGCTGGGGTTCAGCTGAGAAAGGAAGCAGACAATAAGGGCCTCTAGATTCTCAAAAACAAACAAACAAAAAACCACCACCACCACCAACAAAAAACACCCTCCTCTTGGTGCACAGCTCCTCTCAGGCTCCCCAAACTTGGCCTCACTGCTAATGATTCCTCGCACCCCGATGGTAGCCAATCTTCCAACCGCTTTCAGATGGAGAGCACTGTGGGTGGCTGACAACGGGCCCTCTTTGCTGATGGGGACACTCAGGCTCATGGAGATAACAAGACTTGCTGTTTCCCGGCACAGACCTCTTTCCCTCTGCCTCAAAGCCCTTCCATCCACCCACCTCCCTGGGGCATTCTAAGCCATCCCCAGAGCCCCCTCTGATGCCAGGCCTGCTCCCAGGTCACACCAGCCCCATCTTACCCATCTGGTGTTTGAGTTGGGATAAGCTTCTCTCCAGCTCCTCCACCCGATGCATGTCATGCAGCTTCTCCTTCTTTAAGGTGCAAAGCTGCCCAAAGCACAGGGGAAAAGGCCCTGGAGAGAGGGGCTGCTGGCTCCACAGGCTACCATCTGCCTCTCTGCCCCCACCTCCACAAAGCCCAGACCCATGACCACCTCTGGCTGTATATTCCCATGTTACAGATGCCCAGAAAGATCCAGTGACCTATCTAAGATGGGGGGCTGAAGGGTCAGATCTCACCTCCTGGGACATTTTCCTCATCGTCTCCTGCCACTGGGCCCTCTCTGCTTTTATATGTTCAGCATATTCATCTCTCTGTAGCTGTACTAGCTTCAGCGATTCCTTCACCTGCAAGAATGGGAACAGAAGTTACGAAGGGCTGTCACTGGTCCTCACCTGCTCCTGGCCACCTGGGGTCACCTTCCTTCCACATCCCTCCGTCTGCAAAACCTCACCTGTGTCACGTGCGCTTTCAGCAGTGCCCGCTCCTGTAAGGACCGCTCTAACTGCGTCTTGAGAAGTGTTTCACTGCGGCTCGAGGACTGGATGGTGAAGAGTGAGAAGTTTCTATCTGGGGAACCTGGGCCATTCCATACAGTGCCCCTTAAACAGGCTAGGGCTAGGCTCAATATACAACACGGTCAGTACAGATCAAGGCATTTACCCGTGGTCTGGTTTTTAAAAGAACTCAGTAAAGTTGGAAGGGACAGGGAAAGAGATCGAATTTACAGCTGCCTAACAGAGGCCCAGAGAGATCAGTTAATATTGCTCTTGTTATTACTGTTATGACTAGCACTGTTTGAACCTTTATGGAGTGCTTCACCAGGTACCATGCTAGCAATCCCATTTAATCCTCACAACCACCATAGGAGACAGTTACTATGATTCCCTCTATTGTGCACATGAAAACACATGGAGTATTTGAGGTTAAGTGCTTGCCTAAGATCACTTAGGCAGAGCTGGGATTGGAACAGCTAGATCTATCTGATTCTCTAAGCCCATTTTTCTTGCTGGGGACACAGAGAGGAAGGGGAAACTGAATCTCTTGTTCACTGTTTGAAAGGATGATACATTCGCAAAGTCCAAAATTCAGAAGGTACAGAAGGGAAGTATCTCCCAGCCACTCTCTTGCTCTCTCCTGAGTTTTTTATGAACCTTGCAGTCTTATTTTATGTACATTTTCATAGTATGTACACACACACACACACACACACACACACACACACACACACACACGTTTCCTCTCTACAGAAATGGTAACATACTAAAGGTACTCTTCTGTACCTTCACAGTACAAGTACCCAATACCCCACCTAGGACTTGGCCAAGACCCCAGCCAGGGAAGGGCAGGGCAGGCACTTGGCCTCCAAGCTCTGTGTCCAGTGCTCGCTCCCCACCACACCCCCCAACTCACCCACAGCAGCTGACTCAGCCCCAGGCTGCCTCTAACAACCAGACACAAAAGCAGCGAGACATGGCCATGCCGCTTTCTGGGCAGGACACTCCATCCTGCAGAAGGGACCTTTAGGCTCACTCCTCCATCTGTGAAGCCGGGCTCCCAGGAGATGGGGCAGGTGGTCAGACTCACCTTGTCCGCCGCCTTCTTCTGTGTGGCGGTGACAGCAGACAGAGCCCGCTCTAACTCTTCCGTACGCTGCGATGAACGTTGCAGGCGGGCAGCCAGATCCTTCGACTCTTCTGTAATGAGAGAGTTGAGATGGGGCCAAAGGACTCCCACTAAAGACCTATCCAAGTGCCAGGTTGAAGGATGATAGGGTGCCCAGATTCCCACCTTCAAAGTATATGAGAGAGCGTTTCGTGCGATACACGTCAATAATTAGTTTCTTTTTCTGTACGTTCAATCTCTGGATTTGAACCTTTAGGAGAAAAGCCAAGCAAGTGCTGAAAGAGAAGGAAAGAAACATTCCCCGGAGGACAGGAGAAAACTTCACACCCTCCACTCACCTCTAGCTCCCTTTCGGTTTTCTGTTTCTCGTTGTTTGCCTTCTTTTCCTATAGGAAGAGGAAGACAGAGCTCTTACCAGAGGGAGGCAGAGGTGGCACAGCGAGACATGCCCCCAGAATGCCACCAATGCCCCAGGACAGGCCCACCCATGGGACCAGGTTATCAGGGACCCTGTGGGGATGGGGTGGAATCTGAGGGGTGAGCCTTCTTCCCCAGGCTGGGAGTGGGCGAGACGAGACTGGGGCCTCTACATCTGAGTGCCCCCCAAACCCAGCCGTCATGTCGTGAGCAAAGAAATCGTGTTACTTCTTCCAGCTGATGTTCCACTTGTTTCTTCTGTTGTTCCTGTGGGGAGAGTCAAATTAAGGTGATGGAGGGTGGCCCCCTCAACTCTATTCCCCAGGCCAGGAAGCGGTAGGCAGGGGCCAGGAATGGATTTTAAAGGCAAAGTTCTCAGACCCAACGGGAACACAAACTGGTCAACTCTCCTCAAGGTCCCAAGGACAGAGGATTTGGGTCTTTGTTGGTTTTCACCCACAGCCACAGAACTCAAAGTCTGAATCTGAAATCTCTTGAGAGGACAGGAACATAAACCTCTAGAGATGGAGTTGGAGAAAGGCCCCCCTCCTGCCCGCTTGTGATTTAGAAAAGTGCGTTCGTTCAATAAACATTAACTGAGCACGTATGGGCCAGGTACGGCTCCTCACAGTATATATAGGATGGAAAAGGACACACAGGAGCTCTTGGCCCTGAGGTTTCCGTTCTAGGGGACTTTTAAATCTCGGACTCTCAGAGCTAACAGACACCTTTGATACTCACTACCTCCTCTGGAAACACGAGCCCAAAAAGGAGAGGCAGCTTGTCCAGAATCAAAGAGCAAATTAGGGACTGAGTCACGGCAGAAATACGGGGCCCCTGACAACCAGTCAGGCTCGCACTTCCCCAAGAGGCAACGACCCCAGGGCGTGTGTAGCAAGGACTCCAGCAGGGGTGTGTGGAGAGGAGACAGTCGGCAAAGAGGGCGGCAAAAGAACAGCCATGGTGTGTGCTCTGGGGTCCCTCCAGGTGAGGCTTAGGCACCCCAGCTCCCCATTTGTCCTTTGCCCCACGGCCCCCAGCCCCTTTCTTCAGAGCCCCAAGAGGAAACTGGAGCCCAGGATTGGCAGCCTGGAATCAGGGGATCCCACTGGACTCTTACCAAAGATTTGATTGTGTTATTCAGTCGACTGATTTTGACGGACCTCGAGTCAAGGACTACCGCTTGTTCTTGGCACGGGCTCTGAGGTGCATGCAGAGGGGAGGAGGTGGAGCAGGAGTCGGGGGAGAGGTAGAGAGAACAATCATTAGGGCTGGGGTGTGTGTGGGCTGTCTCAGCTGGCAGAGGGGCACCGAGTCCCTGCTGTGGGAGGAGGTTGGAGGGCTGGCCTGCCTGGTCACTGCACCTCCACCCAGAGCCTCCCACCTCCAGATCCTTCAGGGTAGCACATGATGTAGGGCCCGCCCCGTGGATACCTGTTGCTGACTACAAGAGAGTACACATGGATATATTGTGTTCCCCTCAGTGTCTAAGCCCTCTGACTTCCTTTCATTCACATCAACTGGCAACATTTTCTTTTCTGCCTCTCTTGGACCCTTTGTCCCGTAACTCCTTTGTGCCAACTTCTCTCATGGCTCTTACTTCCCCACCATCCCAACCTGGGGCCTGACATCAGTGACTCCTGATGGCAAGTGGCTGTTCTCATTGTCCTGGCTTCCCCTTGAGACTGGGGATGAGGAAAATCAAAGAGCAATGACCATATCGTGGGTGCCCTGAGTGTTTACAGCAGGCCATGTACTAGGGATTAACATAAAAACAACAATAAGACATCTCATTTAAACCTCACAAATGGAAGTCAAACAATAGAACCTCTATTATACAGATGTGTAAAAAGAGGCCCGAAAATCTCAAGCAACTTGCCCTAAATCATATCCCTAGCAGACGGAAAGGCAGGATTCAAACCCAGAATTCGTTTTTTTTTTTTTTTTTTTTGCTTTTTGTGAGACAGAGTCTCGCTCTGTCTCCCAGGCTGGAGTGCAGTGGCGAGATCTTGGCTCACTGCAAGCTCCGCGTCCTGGTTCATGCCATTCTCCTGCCTCAGCCTCCCGAGCAGCTGGGAATACAGGCACCTACCACCATGCTGGCTAATTTTTTTGGTATTTTTCAGTGAAGACGGGGTTTCACCATGTTAGGCAGAATGGTCTCAATTTCCTGACCTTGTGATCTGCCCGGATTGGTCTCCCAAAGTGCTGGGATTACAAACATGAGTCACTGTGCCTGGCTAAACCCAGAATTCTTAACCAGTACCCAACGGTCCATCCACAATCTTAACAATTACCCTCTACTGCCCCTTCGGTCCCCTGTCCCCAGGAGCCTGGCCACCAAGACTCACATCCCGAGCTGAGTGGCAACCAGCAGAAGTGGATGTCTCAGGGCTACTGCCATTTGTTTTCCTGTTCCTCTTTGCTTCTGCTGGAACAGCAGGGCTGTTTCTGTGCCAATATTCTTTTAACTGTGGGAAAGAAGAGCAGTGATCGTCATGAGACCTATCGGCCCCTACAGCCACATCCTCCCTTAGAGTTTTTACAAAATACTCTTATACACCATCTGATTTAACGACACTAACAGCTGTGTAAGAGGTGTTGTCACAATCTTTTAGGGACTGAGAGGGATTGATATCATAGCTAGAAAAAAAAAAAGAAAAAGAAAAAGGCGATACTGGAACTTTGAAACTCAGTCTTCTGATTCCAAGCTCTGCGGTCTTGCCAAGAATAGCAGCTGCCAGGGACCAAAACCAGAGGCAGAGGTAGAAAAGTAAACATTAAGTAGGCAGGAACTGTATGCCCTGCGGTTTAGAGTCATACATCCTCACACGTCTGTTAGTGTGAAGAAGTGCACCAGTACCTCTCAAACTTCTATATCAATGTATCCTCACGGCAGAAGGCAGCCTTTCTGTTAAACACGGAATTTATCAGAAAGAGGACTACCCAGCCTCATTTCAGAGAGAAGTCTGGTATTCTCTTAGAAACCTATGTGACTGTCATCCCTAAGTATATTCATGTTTTGTCTCTTGATCTCAAGAGAATCAAGGGAAACTGATGCTTCAGAAAGATGTCTCACATTTATCCTGTGGCATTCAAAGTACCCCAGGTCGAGATAATATGAGGAAGAGTCAAGCTGTCAAGTTCAGTTTCCCAAGATCTATTCCACAGAAGATGAGCAAATCTCACTTCAGAGACGACTGACTGAAGGGCAGTCTGGTCCCAGAACCATGGAGAATTAGAATATGAGGTGGAGAACTCAGAAAAAAACGTTAAAATCTCTCTGGAAAGTAGAAGCCTGGGAGAAAACCAAACCAAACCCATTCTCCCATTGCCACATGGAGGTACGGTCAACGTTGTGCGCTCACAGGGGAAGTGTAGGCTTTCCCCCCGTCAAGGTCGATGTTAAGGGAGTGAGGCAGCCTGGAACCTTTTGCTCCTAGGTCCCACAGTCTCCATTCCCCTTCCAGCTGGAAATTTGCACTGTGAGCAGAGGAACCAGAAATGGGGTGGGGACACTTAGGGGACTGGGTCATAAGATCAAAGGCCGGTCTTCCAGTAATGACAGTTCCCAGGCAGACTGTGACATCACTACATTCCACTCCTCCTGATTGGGGGGAGGGACCACATCAGTGCAATGTCCGAGTTACCACTCCACGATGGGGGAGGGAAACACAGGGTTGACACCCAGGACCTTGGAGACGCCAGCGCAAAGAGCCCAGGGAGGTTGACCTTGAGGCAGCAGGAGAGGAGGGCAGAGTCTGCAGCAGGGAACTCCAGGAGTCACCAGCCCAAAGTCACCCAGGGATGACTGGCGAGGGTGGGGCCTGGGGCTGGGGAACCCAGGTTCTTGGAGACAAGAGCGCAAAGAGCCCAGGGAGGTCGAGCTTGGGTCGGCAGGAGGTGAGAGCCTAGTAATGGAGAGGGGAGCCCCAGGAGTCACCGGCCCAAAGTCACCCTGGAGTGATGGGCGAGGGCAGGGACTGGGCTGATGCTGAAGGGGCAGGGCTGACTGACAAGACTTTTGCGGGGGGAGTCCAGAGGCACCTGCATTGGAGGGCCCTGTCCAGTGTACCTCAGCAGTGATATGGGCTCTGGCAGCAGTCTTGTCGTCGGAGGGGATCTGTAGCTGGGTTGGGGGCCATGACCTGGTGCGTTTTTACCTTTTTCTTGGCTGCGGCCAATCTGCTCTGCGGAGTTTCTTCTGCCATCGTGGGGCGGGAAAGGGAGGTGGGGTTGGGGCCACAACAGCGAAATCCCAGCGAGCACTGATCAAGACCTCCAGTCACCTACCAGGCAGCTGTGTGACTGAGCCACAGGAGTGGTAACCAGGGCACCAGTAGAATGTAGAATAGGGGCGTGGCCTTAATGCTCCAAGCCTATTGGTCAAGGAGAACCATGAAAGGGAAAGGGGCGTGGCCAGGCAGCAGTGTGTCCAGAAGGACCCCTGGCTCATAAGGAAAGCTACTCATGCACCTGCTGTTCCCACCCACTCTGAAAGAGGGGAGGGGCTGCCCACTCTGGGAGAGGGAAGGGGCCAACTTTTGCTTTAAAAGCTTTAAAACTTTAAAAAATATATGTGTGCATTCTTTATATATAGATGTGTGTCTGTGTGTGTGTATCTATGAGTTTATCTAGAGCTGACTTCATTACCCAGTTTCTATACAAGGTCTATGGTTTTGGCCTATATTTTTATCTTCAAATACAGTACAAAATTATCAGTATTACCTGAACTGAGATACAGATCTTATAAAAATGGAAAATCCATAGCATGCTTGATGATTAATGAAGCAGACTATATTATTCAACATTCCAATAAGATAATCATAATGATTTCTCTTTTTTGGAAAAACGTTTCTCTTATTCTCCTACGTTATTGTTAAGACTTTTTTTTTTCCCTCAAACAAGAAGCATGTTTAGTATCTGGAAAAACACAGAGGTTTTGAGCCAGGTGTAGAGGCTCAAGCCTGTAATCCCAGCACCTTGGGAACCTGAGACGGGTGGATCCTCTGAAGTCAGGAGTTCGAGACCAGCCTGGCCAACATGGTGAAACCCCATCTCTGCTAAAACTACAAAAACTAGCCAGGTGTGGTGGTGGGTGCCGGTAATTCCAGCTATTTGGGAGGCTGAGGCAGGAGAATCACTTGGACCCAGGAGAGGGAGGTTGCAGTGAGCCAAGCTCACGCCACTGCACTCCAGCCAGGGCGACAGAGCAAGACTCCATCTCAAAAGAAATACAATACAATACAGTACAATACAATACAAAATAGATTTTAAAAGCTTTCAATTTAATAAGCACTCAAAGCTCTTTACCGGTTTAAAACAAACACAAGGCCCATTTTTCTAGAATCACCTGGCCTCTCTAAGCCTTGCAAACAAAACTGAATTTCTCACTTGATACTTCGCTGGAAGAAAGAGTATCAGCGATTGAGGATCAAATGAATGAAATGAAGCGAGAAGAGAAACCAAAAGAAAAAAGAAGAAAAAGAAATGAACAAAGCCTACAAGAAGTATGGGATTATGTAAAAAGACCAAATCTACGTCTGCTTGGGGTGCCTGAAAGTGAGGGGGAAGATGGAACCAAGTTGGAAAACACTCTTCAGGATATCATCCAGGAGAACTTCCCCAACCTAGTAGGGCAGGCCAACATTCAAATCCAGGAAATACAGAGAACGCCACAAAGATACTCCTCGAGAAGAGCAACTCCAAGACACATAATTGCCAGATTCACCAAAGTTGAAATGAAGGAAAAAATCTTAAGGGCAGCCAGAGAGAAAGGTCGGGTTACCCACAAAGGGAAGCCCATCAGACTAACAGCAGATCTCTCGGCAGAAACTCTACAAGCCAAGAGAGTGGGGGCCAATATTCAACATTCTTAAAGAAAAGAATTTTAAACCCAGAATTTCATATCCAGCCAAACTAAGTTTCATAAGTGAAGGAGAAATAAAATCCTTTACAGATAAGCAAATGCTTAGAGATTTTGTCACCACTAGGCCTGCCTTACAAGAGACCCTGAAGGAAGCACTCAACATGGAAAGGAACAACTGGTACCAGCCATTGCAAAAACATGCCGAAATGTAAAGACCATCGAGGCTAGGAAGAAACTGCATCAACTAACGAGCAAAATAACCAGTTAACATCATAATGGCAGGATCAAGTTCACACATAACAATATTAACCTTAAATGTAAATGGACTAAATGCTCCAATTAAAAGACACAGACTGGCAAACTGGATAAAGAGTCAAGACCCATCAGTCTGCTGTATTCAGGAGACCCATCTCACACGCAGAGACATACATAGGCTCAAAATAAAGGGATGGAGGAAGATCTACCAAGCAAATGGAGAACAAAAAAAAGCGGGGGTTGCAATACTAGTCTCTGATAAAACAGACTTTAAACCATCAAAGATCAAAAGAGACAAAGAAGGCCATTACATAATGGTAAAGGGATCAATTCAACAGGAAGAGCTAACTATCCTAAATATATATGCACCCAATACAGGAGCACCCAGATTCATAAAGCAAGTCCTTAGAGACTTACAAAGAGACTTAGACTCCCATACAATAATAATGGGAGACTTCAACACTCCACTGTCAATATTAGACAGATCAACGAGACAGAAAGTTAACAAGGATATCCAGGAATTGAACTCATCTCTGCAGCAAGCAGACCTAATAGACATCTATAGAACTCTCCACCCCAAATCAACAGAATATACATTCTTCTCAGCACCACATCGTACTTACTCCAAAATTGACCACGTAATTGGAAGTAAAGCACTCCTCAGCAAATGTACAAGAACAGAAATTATAGCAAACTGTCTCTCAGACCACAGTGCAATCAAACTAGAACTCAGGACTAAGAAACTCAATCCAAACCGCTCAACTACATGGAAACTGAACAACCTGCTCCTGAATGACTACTGGGTCCATAACGAAATGAAGGCAGAAATAAAGATGTTCTTTGAAACCAATGAGAACAAAGATACAACATACCAGAATCTCTGGGACACATTTAAAGCAGTGTGTACAGGGAAATTTATAGCACTAAATGCCCACAAGAGAAAGCAGGAAAGATCTAAAATTGACACTCTAACATCGCAATTAAAAGAACTAGAGAAGCAAGAGCAAACACATTCGAAAGCTAGCAGAAGGCAAGAAATAACTAAGATCAGAGCAGAACTGAAGGAGATAGAGACACAAAAAACCCTCCAAAAAATCAATGAATACAGGAGTTGGTTTTTTGAAAAGATCAACAAAATTGACAGACCACTAGCAAGACTAATAAAGAAGAAAAGAGACAAGAATCAAATCGACGCAATTAAAAATGATACAGGGGATATCACCACCGACCCCTCAGAAATACAAACTACCATCAGAGAATACTATAAACACCTCTACGCAAATAAACTGGAAAATCTAGAAGAAATGGATAATTTCCTGGACACTTACACTCTTCCAAGACTAAACCAGGAAGAAGTTGAATCCCTGAATAGACAAATAGCAGGCTCTGAAATTGAGGCAATAATTAATAGCCTACCAACCAAAAAAAGTCCAGGACCAGATGGATTCACAGCTGAATTCTACCAGAGGTACAAGGAGGAGTTGGTACCATTCCTTCTGAAACTATTCCAATCAATAGAAAAAGAAGGAATCCTCCCTAACTCATTTTATGAGGCCAACATCATCCTGATACCAAAGCCTGGCAGAGACACAAGAAAAAAAGAGAATTTTAGACCAATATCCCTGATGAACATCGATGCAAAAATCCTCAATAAAATACTGGCAAACCGGATTCAGCAACACATCAAAAAGCTTATCCACCATGATCAAGTGGGCTTCATCCCTGGGATGCAAGGCTGGTTCAACATTCGCAAATCAATAAACATAATCCAGCATATAAACAGAACCAAAGACAAGAACCACATGATTATCTCAATAGATGCAGAAAAGGCTTTTGACAAAATTCAACAGCCCTTCATGCTAAAAACGCTCAATTAATTCGGTATTGATGGAACGTACCTCAAAATAATAAGAGCTATTTATGACAAACCCACAGCCAATATCATACTGAATGGGCAAAAACTGGAAAAATTCCCTTTGAAAACTGGCACAAGACAGGGATGCCCTCTCTCACCACTCCTATTCAACATAGTGTTGGAAGTTCTGGCTAGGGCAATTAGGCAAGAGAAAGAAATCAAGGGTATTCAGTTAGGAAAAGAAGAAGTCAAACTGTCCCTGTTTGCAGATGACATGATTGTATATTGAGAAAACCCCATCGTCTCAGCCCAAAATCTCCTTAAGCTGATAAGCAACTTCAGCAAAGTCTCAGGATACAAAATTAATGTGCAAAAATCACAAGCATTCTTATACACCAGTAACAGACAAACAGAGAGCCAAATCAGGAATGAACTTCCATTCACAATTGCTTCAAAGAGAATAAAATACCTAGGAATCCAACTGACAAGGGATGTAAAGGACCTCTTCAAGGAGAACTACAAACTACTGCTCAGTGAAATAAAAGAGGACACAAACAAATGGAAGAACATACCATGCTCATGGATAGGAAGAATCAATATCGTGAAAATGGCCATACTGCCCAAGGTTATTTATAGATTCAATGCCATCCCCATCAAGCTACCAATGAGTTTCTTCACAGAATTGGAAAAAACTGCTTTAAAGTTCATATGGAACCAAAAAAGAGCCCGCATCTCCAAGACAATCCTAAGTCAAAAGAACAAAGCTGGAGGCATCACGCTACCTGACTTCAAACTATACTACAAGGCTACAGTAACCAAAACAGCATGGTAATGGTACCAAAACAGAGATATAGACCAATGGAACAGAACATAGGCCTCAGAGATAATACCACACATCTACAGCCATCTGATCTTTGACAAACCTGACAGAAACAAGAAATGGGGAAAGGATTCCCTATTTAATAAATGGTGCTGGGAAAATTGGCTAGCCATAAGTAGAAAGCTGAAACTGGATCCTTTCCTTACTCCTTATACGAAAATTAATTCAAGATGGATTAGAGACTTAAATTTAGACCTAATACCATAAAAATCCTAGAGGAAAACCTAGGTAGTACCATTCAGGACCATAGGCATGGGCAAAGACTTCATGCTCCAAAACCCAAAAGCAACGCAGCAAAAGCCAAAATTGACAAATGGGATTCATTAAACTAAGAGCTTCTGCACAGCAAAAGAAACTACCATCAGAGTGAACAGGCAACCTACAGAATGGGAGAAAAGTTTTGCATCTACTCATCTGACAAAGGGCTAATATCAGAACCTACAAAGAACTCAAACATTTACAAGAAAAAAACAAACAACCCCATCAAAAAGTGGGCAAAGGATATGAACAGACATTTCTCAAAGAAGACATTTATGAGGCCAACAGACACATGAAAAAATGCTCATCATCACTCGCCATCAGAGAAATGCAAATCAAAACCACAATGAGATACCATCTCACACCAGTTAGAATGGCGATCATAAAAAGTCAGGAAACAACAGGTGCTGGAGAGGATGTGGAGAAATAGGACACTTTTACACTGTTGTGGGATTGTAAAC